GCAGATGTGTGCAAAGGCACTACGTCAACCATTATATTTTATACTGTTTTCTTTCATTTCTGTGTTCAAATGTGTAGACATATTTTGGAAATGTCTATATGCAATTTTTTTTAATGTAAATGTTCATGCATCTGTATGGATTGTTTATGCCACCACCTCATCTTCTGGACAGAAGCCACCACTGAGCCTTAGGACTTGACATTCGATGTTGCCATAGCTGCATGCTCTTCACCAATGTGCAAATGTCGAAGTGCCAGGTAATTCTGAGCCATGATTTCCAGAAAAAAGCTGTACTTTGATGCTGGACGTTTGATACTTGGAGCCATTCACATGTCTGCAAACTAGCATATTGAATATATAAGCAGATTCTTTCTAATTTACTTTTATTTGGTGTACACTAAAAACCCTAACCATTACAGTGGACGTTTGGGTTGCAAATGCGCAGAAGTGCGTTTGCGGCATGCGCAAAAGTGCTCTGTGCGCATGCACGGAAGCGCTCTACAGCACCGCATGCATGCATGCACAGAACAAGCGAAGATTTCAGGATACGGTTGGGCATCTGGAACGGATCCCGTTCATAACCGGAGGTACCACTGTATATTACAAAATCTCAACTTTTCCATTCTGCCCTTAACGTATCTTAAGTCTTAGTGACTGTAATGAAAAATCACGTGTGTGTGTGTGTGTATATAGCATCAACATTGGGAACAAAAAGCCAGTGGGAGTTTTCTTTACAGACAACTGCTCTAGGGTTCCTAAATGTGGATTTTGAAACAATTGTGGGGAACCTTTGACTCTCCAGATGTTGGACCATTAGGTCCAGTCGTGATCGACTCTGGGGTTGCGGCACTCATCTTGCTTTACTGGCTGAGGGAGCTGGCGTACAGCTTCCGGGTCATGTGGCCAGCATGACTAAGCTGCTTCTGGCGAACCACAGCAGCGCACGGAAACGCCATTTACCTTCCCACCGGAGTGGTACCTATTTATCTACTTGCACTTTGATGTGCTTTTGAACTGCTAGGTGGGCAGGAGCAGGGACCAAGCAACGGGAGCAATGGGGATTCGAACCCTGACCTTCTGATAGGCAAGTCCTAGGCTCTGTGGTTTAACTCACAGCGCCACCCGCATCCCTAGCAATATGCTTGAGGGTGACCTTTATTTTCACTTGAATTAGGAAGGTTTCTGGTAGCAGAATGTGCAGATATATGTATTCTAAAGCCTCTGATGTCGCTTGATCTCATATACCATTTTCACTCCAAAGTCAAAATCAGAGCCTAGGAAACTTTGCATGACCCCCCTCTGGAAATTCATGTCACAGACACCTTTGAAGTTTGCAGAGACTTTTGCATTAAACATTCATCTTTTGCATTAATAAGGAGTCAACCTTCTGTTGGAATGTATGCCACTAATTAGGTGACTCTATAATGATCTTTCCATCTTAAGAGGTTGGCTTGCAGTTGAAGCAGGGATATAATTTTACCTTGAGGTAGGAGAAGATAAAGAGCCTTGCAGGATCAGGTGAAAGGCTTATCTAGTCTGGCATTCTTGTTTCCCACTGTGGTCCAAAACATGCCTCTAGGAAATTGGGGGCTAGGCAATATCACTCTCCCTGCTTGTACTTCCTGGCAGCAGGTATTCAGAGGCCCATGGTCTCCCTCTGTGATAACCATCATGCCTAGAAGCCATTAAGAGTCTTATTCTCCATGGATTTGTCTAATCTCCTTTTGAAGTAATATGGCAGCCATCACTACATCTTTGTGGTCACAAATTTCATCTTAACTGTGTTGTGTGGAGATGTACTGCACTTCCTGTCCTGGATCTCCCAAAAATTCATCTTTATTGGATGACTCCAGGGGATATTATGAGGGAGAAAAACTTATCAGCTCTCCTTTTTCCAGACCATACATAATTTAAGACTTTATGATGCCCTTCCCTGCTTTTTCCCCAAACTAAGAAGTTCTCTCTTTTTTTGGAAATATTTTTATTTTTTTTTACAAACAAAAAGTTATAACAATACCAAATATATAACCTTATATTGAGATTTCTCTGAATCTCCCAGCTTCCTGGTCCTTCCCTCCATGAGTCCAATTGTCAACATCTTCATCTGCATATTATTTCACAATCCATGTATTGTATCTCTTCATATTAACCACAGTGTTGGTTACGTTACAAGTGTTATTAAAATCCTGCTAATGCTTTTATGTGCTTGCAGTGGTCTCGTAGGTCAATTTTAAATTTTTCCCATTCTTAAAGTTTTTGTTGTCTTGGTTTCCTGAGTTTTGCCATTTTGGCGGACTCCCAACAGCTTAATTTGCCATTCCTCTCTGACAGGGACTTTGTCTTCTTTCCATCTTTGGGCTAATAACATCCATGTGGCTGTTGTCATGTACATAAGTCTTTTCTGTTCCTTTGGTATATCGGTACCTATAATTCCTAATAATAAACCTTCTGGTGTTGTTTTTTTACAAAAGTTATTTTAAACATTATTGTCAGTTCATTATATATCATTTCCCAGAATGCTTTTATTACCTTACATGACCACCACATATGATAAAAGGCACCTCCTTTCTCTTTATATTTCCAGCAAGTATTTGTACTTCTCTTATACATTTTTGGTAGCTTAAAAGGTAAAGGTAAAGGGACCCCTTACAGTTAAGTCCAATCGCGAACGACTCTGGGGTTGCAGCGCTCATCTCGCTTTACAGGCCGAGAGAGACGGCGTTTGTCCACTCCACAGACAGTTTTTCCGGGTCATGTGGCCAAAATGACAAAGCCGCTTCTGGTGCAACAGAACACCGACACCAGAGCAGTGCACGGAAACGCTGTTTACCTTCCTGCCAGAGCGGTACCTATTAATCTACTTGCACTTTTTGGCATGCTTTTGAACTGCTAAGTTGGTAGGACCTGGGACTGAGCAACGGGAGTTCACCCCATTGCGGGGATTCGAACTGCCAACCTTTTGATCGGCAAGCCCAAGGCTCAGTGGTTTAGACCACAGTGCCACCCGCGTCCCTTTTTGCTAGGGGTCAAATACCACTGGTACATCATTTCCATATAATTTTCTTTCAGTGTATAACAAGCCATGAATTTTAAGTCAGTTTTCCATAACTTTTCCCAATCTGAAAATTGAATATTATGCCACAGATCTCTCTCACCCAGTGTTTCATTACAGATTTAACTTGTTCATCTTTTGTATACCACCAAACTAAGAAGTTCTAAACCCTTTTATATTTTCCCATAAGGGACTTGTTCCATTTTAGTTGCCATTCTATGCACCTGTTAAAACTCTACCATACCTTCTGGAGTTGCGGCAATACTGTTCCTAGGGTGACTCCAGATTGTAAACTATTTTGCAAGAGGGATTCAAGCGTATACGGGAAGGTTTGCACTTTTGAAGTGGATCAAAGCGTTCTATCGACCTAGTGCTGAAAGCCCAACATAAAAAAATAAAATTCCTGGACTTTTTGTGGTTTGGAACGTAATGAAGAAATGCATTGAAAAGCATGTGATGGGTAGCAGGAAGAAGTGTAAACACCTCACAACCAAATCTGGCTGAATGCTCAGTGTCATATGAACCAGTTAAGCAAGGACTGGACCTAGGCTCACCACCACGTAAGCTCTGTACAAGCCCATCAGGATGAATGCTGGAGAAGCAAGTTGGCTGTAAATTACATTAATATGTAATTTACCCTTTTCACAGGTGCCACATGTTTAAACTGAGCCATCTAGGAAGACTCCAGGATCTCTTTCCTGGTCAGTTAACCACTTCTGACCCCATAACCAGGGCCAGATTTAGGTTTGATGAGGCCCTAAGCAACTGAAGGTAATGGGACCCTCATATGTCCAGCTGTCCTTTGTCAACAACAAATTGTCGCTGTTTTTTGTGTTGAATATATGCTATATGGTAATTTATGAACCTGATAGGTATCTAAAGCCATTTGCACATAACAAAATATGTATTTTATCAAAGTAATATTTATTTTATCTTATATTTTGGAAATGTACATCCAGTTTTTCCCCCTTTATTTTTTGGGGGGGCCCCCAGGAGAGTGGGGCCCTAATCTACAGCTTATTTAGCTTATAGGTAAATCCGGCATTGCCATAAAACAAAATCTCTCTCTCTCACACACACACACAGAAGCTCGGGTTTTCCCCTGCCCCAGTGCGCAGTCATTTTGCACTTGTTTTGCTCCTGTGCCCCTTTTTCTAGGACTCCTGTGTTGCCCACCCTCCACTCCAGCTTTGCCCGCCTTCGCAGAGACCCACGACCCCATAGTACCCCCCAAAGGGGTGGTGGAGAGGCAGCCTTGCCCATGTGATATCCAGCAGGCTCCTTGCAGGGGAGCCTGCGTCTTTACGCGCCTCTCCATGGTGCGCGCTGCGCATTTTATTCCTACCATCCTCTTAGGTCGTATCCCTTGACTTCCACGTTTACTCGGCACTCCTCGGCCAGGGCTTTTCCGATCCCGGACAGGGTCGCCTTTCTTATCCCGGGAGGCTGGCTAATTGCTAGCAGAGGAAAACCCGCCGCGGGGGAATCCTAAACCCGGATTTCCCGCCTCCCGTCTAGGAAAGGCGAAAGCCGGAGAGGCGACGCGCGCATCCGCAGCCGCCTCCTGCTTGCCGGACGCGCGTTGCTGGCGCTCAGCGCATTTGCGCGCCTCTGTGGGCAGCATCTTGAACGCACCTGTGCGTCTCCCTTGGCTAGGCTTTGGGCAGCAGCAGCCTTTTCTTTCGACCGGAGGAGAAAGACTGGAAGGACCCGAAGCCGCCGCAGCCGCAGCCGCAGCCGGAGGGTCTTGTTTCTTTGCTGCGCCGATTCTTCCCCGCAGAAGAAGCCAAGACCTGCTCGTGGGATCGGCCTTGGGAGGGACTAGCAACTTGCCTCCGGGGTTCCCCATCTTAGCCATCGGGTTTCCTCGGCGCTTTCCTTTTATTCGACGTGACTTTTGCTCGGAGCCCGGAAGCGTCTCCAACTTTGCTCTCCGGTGGCGCGCAGGATGCCAGGCTCCTGGGGACTCCTGGCGGTGAGCGGCTGCTTTCTGGCTATGGCTGCATCGGCACAGGTATTATTAATCATTATTACTACTATTACTATTTATTAACTTCCCACACCTCCCGCCACACGAGGATCACAGGGCGGTTCACAATATAAAAGCACAAAAAGACACACCAAACGAAAACAACCCCCCGCACCCGACACACCGCTTAAAAGCTTCATTAGCCAAAGGTCTGGGTTTCCCAACTTTGCGCACTTTCCCCCATTACTTGCTCAGTCTTGCCCGGCTGCGGGTGGGAAGAGAGGGAACCGACGGTTTGGGTAGTTCCACCTTCCAGATCCAAGCGAGCTTTGCCGAATTGAGCGTTTGCAACTTCCAGCGGGGTCGGGCATTCACTGCAAGCGAATCCTCAAGTTGAGCCACGCGCAAAGCCAACCTTTGCATTGGAACAGCGCAGGATTCGATCCCGTCCAAGGATGGGGCTATAAGAAAACGCGATAGGAACTTGCTTAGACCCCCTAGCATTAGTTTCATAGAAAATACATCTCTCGATGTTTTGCTGTGCGGTTGAATCCTTAAACGGGTCTCGGAATCCTTCCAAATCAGTATTCTGGTTGAAAGTTTGTGGGTTATTTGAAACGCCTCCAGGAGGCGCTCACAGCTATGTTAGTTTTCATTACACGGATTTTCAGCCAAGGAATGGGGGACCGAAAAAACCCTTTCAGGCAGCAAAATTTGTAAACTGATGCTGTTGGTAAATAGGATTCTGCGAGTTTGAGCGAGATTCCCTGGAAATCCTCATTTCTGTTGCATCGGTGGCTTGTCCCGTTTTAGCCAGATGTTCTCGGTTGCTGCTGTCAGTCCTTCTCCTCCTCCTCCTCTGAGCCAAGAGTGATTCAGCTCCGGGTTCTGTCGGAAAGGGAGCTTGACTTGCTGTTTTGCTGGAATGCTGGCTGGTATTTTGTGCTACACTTTGCCATCTGGTTTTTTTTTTAACCATTAAGTGTAAATCAGTCTTTTCTAGAGGATTACATGTTTTTTTTCTTTAAAAAGCATTTAAAGAACCATGCAAGATTTAAGATATTCTTGGCTGCTGTTCATGTAAGCAGCTCTATACTGTACTGAGGCTGGATTAGAATTTGGCCCTTTCTGTCCCACCTGTAGCTTGTCTGGCACTGAATTGGATTGTTGGCTTTGAGGCCAGATTGAAGGCAAGATGTCTCCATCTCAGACTCCCGTAGGAGCCTGGATGTTGTGGACTACTCACATGAAACAAATTTTGATGTGTTTTGAAGGCACTGCTTGAAATTATGATACCTGAAAAAGTGAATGTGGGGCAGGCATCTTTTAATAAGCGTGTTAAGAAAACAGCTTGTAACCTACAAACGCAGGAATATTCATGGTTGCCAGTGAAAGTCTCCCCTGCCCCATCCAAGGGCTGTTCCAAGTGTGTGAAAGATAAATCTCATGCCCCATTTGACACTTAGGGGTCCTGCCCAGTTACCAGCATGAATTGCTACCCCTTCCCATAGGAGCCTTACTGAAATTTGTCGAGGGGGGAGAGAGACCCAGAGTTGCATTTAATGCAGCCATGGGGAACTTGTGTCCCTCCAGATGTTGCTAAACTTGAATTTCTGTCACCCTTAGCTATTGATGCTGCCGGCTGGGACTGGTGGGAACAATGTCAGGAAGGCCACAGCAGAGGCCGATTTAGGGGAGTGTGACTGGTTTGGTCGCACTGGGTGTGAAGTCTCTGGGGTGCCGCAACTATTATGTAGAATGGAAGGCAAGAGGCAGGGAGGGGCACCAAATTTTGGCTTCACACAGGGTGCTGCTGAAATTGGAGGTCCACCGCTGGCCACTGATCTGCAGTGTTAGAAATTAGCCAGGCGCCTTGTGTGTTTTGCTGCTGGCGTGGGTCCAGGAAGTTTGGATGAGCCCTTAGAAACATCCATTTGAAGCAGGATATATCTAGAGTCTAAATGACTAAAGAAAGGAGTCTAAATGGAGTCCCCTCCACACCTCGTAGAACCACAGAATTGTAGAGTCGGAAGGGACCACGAGGGTCATCTAGCTCAACCCCATTGGGGGGGTTCAGCATACTGCACTCCTCCCCCCTCCACCTCCTAGTATGCTGATCCCATTAGAAGCAGGCCAGAGTGATACATGAGGGGTCTAGACAAAGAGGGGCTCCTGGTCACCCCGGTGAGGAGTGGTGGTGCCTCCCTTTAGGGGAGCTGGGTGGCTGAGTTAGCAGCGTGCTTAACTGTATCGCACAAGCTGGGAGGCGCCACTGATTTATCATCATGAGAGGCCACTCTGTACTCATCCTGGTGGTTATCTTCTCCTTCCAAGTTGCACGAATACAGTAAAACTCACCGGCTGCACATTCCAGAAGTAAAAGGTGTTTTACTCTTATAGTGCTTACTCAGAATCACTTAGCTGATACAGTGGTACCTTGGGTTAAGTACTTAATTCGTTCCGGAGGTCCGTTCTTAACCTGAAACTGTTCTTAACCTGAAGCACCACTTTAGCTAATGGGGCCTCCCACTGCCGCCATGCCGCCAGAGCACAATTTCTGTTCTCACCCTGAAGCAAAGTTCTTAACGTGAAGCACTATTTCTGGGTTAGCGGAGTCTGTAACCTGAAGCGTATGTAACCCGAGGTACCACTGTAAATGGGTGCTTCTTCCCCATTAGTGAGTTGATGCTTGAGGGGGATGGAAAGTTCTAATCTAGGTTAGTGATGGAGCGTGAAACCAAGGTAGTTATTTTAGATTAATTCACATCAGACAAAGGCGACATTTTTTTGTATGCAGCTAACAACACCCAAACACTCCAGTCAGCTCCCCACCCCTTGATATTTTATTAGCAGAGGCCCTGCAGTGACTGTGGCTGAACTCACAACCCCATGCATGTAAATATCTCTCTATCTCTGTGGCATTATTTAAATTGCTTTGTGACAGGTGCTATAAATCAAGAGAATTTCATAGGAACATGAGTCTGTTCTGGGCCGTTTTTCCTCCTCTGCCTTATCTTGCTGTCTGCAAGTATTTAACATATGCCTTGGCAGCCTTTGCTTAATACAGTATTGATTTTTGCCAGTGTTGGAGTCAGAGGACAGCTCTGTTGGCTTGGGCAGATCTGCACTGCTAATTGTGCTTTCCAACTAGCAGCTCCAGGCTGGCAAGCAGGAGGTCAAGCAGTTCGTTTTCCCTGGGACTTAAGAAACCAGGAAGCCTGACTCCATTAAGAGACTTTCTCCAACAAATATTTTAGAAGCATTGTTTATATTAAGAGGGCCCCTGCAGAGTTTGTGGGCAGTCCAACCATGACCTGTAAATTCAGGAAGGGAAACAGTTGCCCAAACCTTTCAATAATTACAATCTGGCAGTCGGCTGACTCATCCATCCCCAATGAGGATGAAGCCTAAATCTAGAATAGAAAGCTGGGGGGGGGGGGGATGATGTGAAAACATGATCTCACGGGCAGTTTGGGAGGAAGGTGTTGTGTTTTCTGCTTGCTGTCAGAAGAAAACTGCCCTTTCCATAATGAGATTGATAATGGTATATTGCCTGTGAAAGTCTCCAAAGGCTAAGCTGTCCATACCAAAATGAAAGGCTGGTGGGAATGCCCTTTTTACATTCAAAAGCGTCTTCCATCTCCTACTAGTGTACTAGAGAGCCAGTGTGGTGTAGTGGTTAAGAGCGGTGGACTCGTAATCTGGTGAACCGGGTTCGCTTCCCCGCTCCTCCACATGCAGCTGCTGGGTGACCTTGGGCCAGTCACACTTCTCTGAAGTCCCTCAGCCCCACTCACCTCACAGAGTTTTTGTTGTGGGGGAGGAAGGGAAAGGAGAATGTTAGCCGCTTTGAGACTCCTTTGGGTAGTGATAAAGTGGGATATCAAATCCAAACTCTTCTTCTTCTACTAGGATTAGCTCAAAATAAACTGCAATAATAATCTACCACTACCAGGTTTCTTCAAAGTGAAGGGTCTTCTCCCCACTGCTTCAGAAAGCTCAGATCCATCTTGCTGTCCTCATTTATTGCAGTAAGTGGAGGGTCAGGCAGGCATCTCTGTTCATTATCCAAAACAATAAGTCTTTTTTTCAATAAGAATCCTTCCGCTTCTTCCCATTTAGCAATAGTAACATTTGTTGAGCAGTAGCTTAGCAGGGGGCTGGGGGGGGTCATGGCCCTGGATACCAAATTCTGAGGGGCACAACCAGGTGCCCCCATGCATGCTCTGCCTTCCACGGGGATCCCCACCCCTCCCTGGCGAAGGCGGCCGAGCAGCTCAGGCCCACGGTGAGTGGGCATGGATGGCGGGAAGTCAAATCAAAGTGACCTCCCCGGGGCACAAATCTGGGCAATGTGTATGGAGGTCCTGGGCTGGCCAGATGACAAGACACCCCCCCCCCCGGCCTCGCTGTGTCCCAAGTGGCAGATTAGGGGGACAGTGTAGGGGCACACAGACCGGTAAGAGAGGGAGTTGTCACTGCAGGCCTTTGCCCACTGTAGCAAAATGTGTAGATCTGGCACTGCTTTGATGTTGCAGAGCAGAAAGCACATGGAGCAGATTCTTAAGTAACTGGCTCTGCTGGAACAAGCTGAAATGTCTGCCTCTTCATAAGTTTGGGAACTGTTACTAGGAAACCTGAGGTGACACAATCAAAGGCAGATCAGGTTATGTAAAGTCCTGGTGTCTTAACCATGGCCAAAGCTCTGGGTATTTATTACTTTAAAATGTGTCAAATACTTCAGAATGAAAGTGCAGCCACGATGAAATATGAAAGCTTTGGTTGTTTACCTTCTTTTCTCTCCTAAAAGAAGATCCTTCTTCACCAACCTTATTTCTGCCTGGTTTTGTGTTTGACAGGACGATTTCGATGACACCGTTACGATGGAGGACCAGATTTATCGTCTCCTGGAGGCCAAACTTCAATGCGAACTAAATATCACGTCTCTGCAACAGGAAGAAGGAGGTGGCGTTTCTAAATAACTTGTTTTCTTTTCCCGTCCCGTTCCAGACAGCATTTCTATTTTTTTTTTTTAATAAATGATATTTATTAAAGTTTCAAAAAATACAGGAAAATACAGAATACAGTAAAAAATTACATAAAGTATATTAATATATAATCCAAAAAGGAAAATAAACACACAAAAACCAAAAGCAAATAAAACAGAATAAACAGAACAGTTAAAAACAATATCACTTTTCCATTTCCGTATCTTAAATTATACTTATTTTCTGGACTTCCTCATACCTCCCTCTTTTGTATTCCAGTCCAAATTGTTTGTCCAGCAATTTCTTTTCCACTTTTTTAATCCCAGTCTTTAATCTTAATATAATATAACATCAAAATTTTACCTCTTTAGTTCCAAATTTCCATTTCCTTAAACTTCTTTAATCCTAATCTTTAATCTTGATCTATCTATAACTTTATCCTGTACAGCTGGAAACCACTTATTTTCAATCCAACATCACTCTAACATTCATTAATTTTGCAGTGTTTCTGTAGATAATCTTTGAATTTCTTCCAATCTTCCTCCACCGACTCTTCTCCCTGGTCACGGATTCTACCAGTCATTTCCGCCAGTTCCATATAGTCCATCAGTTTCACTTGCCATTCCTCCAGCGTGGGAAGTTCTTGTGTCTTCCAATACTTTGCAATGAGTATTCTTGCTGCTGTTGTTGCATACATAAAGAAAGTTCTATCCTTTTTTAACACCATTTGGCCGACTATGCCCAGGAGAAAGGCCTCTGGTTTCTTAGGGAAGGTATATTTAAATACCTTTTTTAATTCATTATATATCATTTCCCAGAAAGCCTGAATCTTTGGGCACGTCCACCAAAGGTGAAAAAATGTACCTTCAGTTTCTTTGCATTTCCAACATTTATTATCGGGCAAGTGATAGATTTTTGCAAGCTTGACTGGGGTTATGTACCACCTGTATATCATTTTCATAATATTCTCTCTTAAGGCATTACATGCCGTAAATTTCATACCTGTGGTCCACAACTGTTCCCAGTCAGCAAACATAATATTATGTCCAACATCTGCATTTCTAAGGTCTTGTTCACATTCTTGCTTACTCTGCATCCAATGTGCTCCCACTGCTAGTTTCCAAAGCCTCTTACACACCATGTTAGCCACAACATGCCTATCGTTTCTTGACAAAAACTGCAGTTTGAGGTGCTTCCCCCCCAAATCACCTTCAGTCCAATCAAGATCAAAAGAGAGTAAGACGACATTCCCTTTTATTTTATTTTTATTTTTATATTATTTTAGAAAATTTTAGCATACAGTATTACAGTGGTACCTCGGGTTAAGTACTTAATTCATTCCGGAGGTCCGTTCTTAACCTGAAACTGTTCTTAACCTGAAGCACCACTTTAGCTAATGGGGCCTCCTGCTGCCGCCGTGCCGCCAGAGCACGATTTCTGTTCTCATCCTGAAGCAAAGTTCTTAACCTGAAGCACTATTTCTGGGTTAGCAGAGTCTGTAACCTGAAGCATCTGTAACCCGAGGTACCACTGTATTTGCATTAATCCATAACAAATTCAATATCTTTATAGGGTTTCTTCCGACCCTCGGACTTCCCCCCCACTCCTCTCCCCGGTTTCCAATAATTGTCTCTTCTCTTTTCTGTGACTAAATACTTTTATCCAATCTATTAAATCTCCTTTTTCAATACCCTTTATCAGAATATATTACAAGTGCTAATCCAATCCTGCTAACGTTTTAAAATGTTTACAATGCTCCTTCATATATTCTATAAAGTTAATCCATTCATTTCTAAATTTACTGTCCTCTTGGTGTCTAATCTTCCCAGTCAATTTCGCCATTTTGGCATAGTTCATCAGTTTCTATATCCATTCTTATTTCGATGTGGTTCTTTCTCCTTCCATCCCTGGGCATATAACATTCTTGCCGCTGTCGTCGCATACATAAATAGGACCTGAGAGTAAGACTACATTCCTATGCAAACTGGGAGTGAACCCCAATCAGAGTGTAGTTCTGTGTAGACACACACAGGACTGCACTGTGAAATAATAATAAATTCCAAACACCAAGATAAAACTACATTTTCAAATTAAAATAAAGGAAATGGAAGACGATAGTTAGCCAAAACAAGCTTTAAGAGCTTTTTCCCTCCCTAAAAGGAAGAAACTCTAAAGCAGATTTAAGGTTGGTTGGGAAAATACCATTATAGCTTCAACTACCATTAGAGTGCAAGAAATAATGATAACAGGAGGAGGAGGAGGAGGAGGAAGGTGTTCAGAGTAAGGCGGGCTGGGAGACAGGGACAGAAGAGAAACAGCAACTTCATTGTGTAACAACTGGGCAAAGACTTGATGAGGAGAAGCTAGAGGAATAGAAGGAAGGAGCATCAGCTTAACAGTTGGAAGAAATGGAAAGAGTGAGAATCAATGGGGATGGGGAATATTTGGCAGAAAAAACAGAGGGAAGCATGAAGAGAGAGAGAGAGAGAGAGAGAGAGAGAGAGAGTCTGCAGAATATATTTTTTTTCTTATCTATATCTTGAAACTGTTTTATATTTCTCTTTGCTGAGGCTTTTGTTAAGAAAATGCATAACGGCAGTCAATATGTTCCAGGTCTCTGTTCACTATCCTGAGGCAACGGTGTTGATTCAGTCCACAGAAAATGCATATCAACTTACTTAATTCCAGGGGAAACAGCAATTTTCTTGGGGGCAGTATCAACCTAGAAGCATTTGAGACCATTCTTGGAATTTGTGTTCACTCTGACTAATTTATTTGTTTGTTTGTTAATTATTTGAATTGCTTTACCATCCTTCATCCAAGGATCACAAGGAGGTTTACAATATAAAAACACAAAAATACATAACATAGAAACACACAACAGCAACTCCCCCAGTTTAAAAGGCCATTGATTGTTTAATTAGCCAAAGTGCTTTCGCCTGGTGCTGGAAAATATGCAATGAAGATGCCAGACAAGCCTCCCTGGAGAGAGCGTTCCACTAGTGGGGAGCCACCACAGAAAAGGCCCATTCTTGTGTTGCTGCCTCAGATGATAATTGCAGGATCCAGGGACCAGTTGTTAAATTGTCATATAACAAAATAAGATGACCCAAAGATATGTGCTGTTGTAACTGCCTGCAATATGAAAAGTTGTTTCTTTGCAAATCTGAGCTGCTTGAATGCTCACATTGATTCTGACACAAATTGGCGAATATTTTTAGCTTCCGTTTAGGCAGAAAATGCTCTGTTCTTGCCTCATTTGGAGGGAAGTAATTTTGAAAGCATTAAAAAAAACCCCAGAGGATCACACACTGTGCTCTTTCCTGCTTTTTCTCATGTTCTTCATTTGCAGCTTATTTCTGCTTTCCCCCTACAGAAGGCAACTGCTTCCCAGAATGGGATGGTCTGGTCTGCTGGCCCAGGGGGTCTGTGGGGAAAACATTAGCTGTCCCATGCCCTCCTTATATATATGACTTCAATCACAAAGGTACCAGCAACATGTTTCACGTTGGATTTTATCTTACACAAAACCTAGCTGGGGAGAACCTTCTCATGGGAGCGCCTCTTCTCTCTTCCAGGCATGGCTTTCCGACACTGTAGCTCAAATGGAACGTGGGTCTCTGTGCAAAGTTTGAACCGGACATGGTCTAATTATTCAGAATGCTTTGACTTCCTGCAAGCAGAAAACAGCCCAGGAAAGGTACATGCTCTTTCACCAGCAAAGGAGCAGAGTTGAAAAGGTGCGGGTGCTTGAGGGTGTTTTAGTGCTGAGAGTGTTGGGGAACCTAACTGGCTTTTATTACTCATTAATCCATAATTTTAAGGGACGTGGGTGACGCTGTGGGTTAAACCACAGAGCCTAGGGCTTGCCAATCAGAAGGTCGGCGGTTCGAATCCCCGCGACGGTGCGAGCTCCCGTTGCTTGGTCCCTGCTCCTGCCAACCTAGCAGTTCGAAAGCACGTCAAAGTGCAAGTAGATAAATAGGTACCGCTCCGGCGGGAAGGTAAACGGCGTTTCCATGCGCTGCTCTGGTTCGCCAGAAGCGGCTCAGTCATGCTGGCCACATGACCCGGGAAAACTGTCTGTGGACAAAAGTGGGCTCCCTCGGCCAGTAAAGCAAAATGAGCGCTGCAACCCCAGAGTTGTCCGCGACTGGACCTAACAGTCAGGGGTCCCTTTAATCCATAAATTAGAGGGTAGGAAGAGCTCAGTCTATTTTAGTCTTAATTCTTGCAATTAGATTGCACTATAAGGAGAGGGTGCATACATCTTGATAACGATTAAATATTGTAAACTGTGCCAGAAACTACCATGATTTGAGAAACGTCACCTTTCAGTCGTTCTCCAGGACATGGCAAATCTCCAACATGACCGTGAGGGAGGGGGCACTCAGAAGAAATGTTGGTCACCCCAAAACAATGCATAGAAATAGTTTAGCATGGCCGTACGGATTGGAGCATACCTTCCCAGAATGGGTAACACAATGGGGTTCCAGGTACAATCCTGGCTTTACCTCCATGCAGAATAGGATTGTGTTGGTCTGTAAATGACAACAGTTGAGCTCCAGACTGGATTCTCTTAAAGGACGTATTTTAGAACTTCTCAATTGTGCGCTGAAGGAGAAAATCCTGGAACATCTTCTGTTTCCTCCAGAGGGAATTCTTTGAACGCCTCTATGTCATGTACACCGTTGGGTATTCCATCTCGTTCTGCTCTCTGGCTGTGGCGATCTTCATCATGGGCTACTTCAGGTGAGTAAATCACACCTCTAGAATCTGTCCGTCCTCTCTTAAACCTTTTAGCCAGTCCTAAGACGACATAAGGGACACGGGTGGCACTGTGGGTTAAACCACAGAGCCTAGGACTTGCCGATCAGAAGGTTGGCAGTTCGAATCCCTGTGATGGAGTGAGCTCCCATTGCTCGGTCCCTGCTCCTGCCACCCTAGCAGTTCAAAAGCACGTCAAAGTGCAAGTAGATAAATAGGTACCGCTCCGGCAGGAAGGTAAACGGCGTTTCCGTGTGCTGCTCTGGTTCACCAGAAGCAGCTTAGTCATGCTGGCCACATGACCACTGGCTCCCTCGGCCAATAAAGCGAGATGAGCGCTGCAACCCCAGAGTCGGTCAGGACTGGACCTAACGGTCAGGGGTCCCTTTACCTTTACTTTAAGATGACATAATGTCTGCAATTTCTACGATGACTACCCCTCGCTTGCCACTCACATTCTTTCCCTCACAATGGCAAGTGGATAAATTTAATTGCAGTATAAAATGGAGTGGCTTTCATGGGCTAAACACCTGAATCCAGTCAATATCATTGGGGAAACTGAACATTGTACACAATTGTGAGTAACAAAGCCCAGGACTTTATATACGTATTACATTAAAAGCTGCCTCAGCAGGCTGAGATTTAAGCCAAGAAAGGGCATGGAGAAAAATGATTAATTTTTTCCCTGCTGGCTGCATCTATATTTGTGATGGCAGATACACATCTAGAATCCCAGTGGGGGAAAGATGCTGGAGGACTTAATTCTGAGCAGAAAAACAACCGGTGGGGAAAGGATTAAGTAGTTCACACAGAGCTGCTTCTCTACTAAAAATGTTAGCATCCCAAGTTCTTTCTCATTTTTTTTAAAACTCTTTGAGCCCCTTTTCACTCATTTGCATGCAATGTTTAGTTTGCCTCTCTCTTTGTTATGACACTTGAAGGGAACTGTCAGGGAACTGACATCGGAGCGAGAGGCGAAGGGGAGGCTCCTAGATGATGCTGGTGAAGGACCCAGCAGCAGGGGGAGAAACAGCTCAGTAGAGGGGGAAGCAAATCAGCGCAACACCAGGGATAAAGGGGGGCAGATGGGGGAATCGGAGAGAGAGCTCCAGGACTCTTCACTGGACCTCAGTGAGGAGGGGACAGGTCCTCCGCTACCCACGCCCTCCCTGCGCAGAAGACTCCTGCGCAGTGAGAGGAGGAGGAGACTGGGTGTCAAACAACTTTTATGTTGGAAGAGGTTCAAGAAACACCCACTGACGGATTCTGCCAGCGACTGAGGCAGCCACCATGAGAAAGGGCTGTGCAGTCAGAAAGGTTTAACAAGGCAAATTAGCCTAGAGAGGCACCAGTTTACGCACGAGTAACTCATACTCATTACAGGAACATAATACACTGGAGCTATGTTTAACATGCAGCGACGCCTCCTTAAGGGCCTGCGCTTATATTACAACTGAAACCATCCTATCGCTGTCACGTTTTAGAATGCTTACCTGCGCAATTGGTAGACCATTGTAACCTGCTGTTCAGGCAACATGCCCACCTGATATCTGCCGCCAGTGATGCTCTTGAAACAGCTGGAGGTTTCCTTTTCTGACGCGGTAAATTCAAGAGCTTTTCAAGAGTCTGATTCAGCAGGGCTCTTCCTGAGTTCTTATGCTCCCTTTAATTAGGTTTCCCCCCCTTGCACACAGGAGACTTCACTGCACCCGGAATTATATACACCTGCATCTGTTTGTCTCTTTCATGCTCAGAGGTACCAGCATATTTATAAAAGACAGAGTAGTTCATGCTCATATCGGAGTCAAAGAGCTTGACTCGCTGCTCATGGGTGACCTACAAAATATCATAGCGGCTCCAGCCCCGGACAAGTCCCAGTACGTAAGTACTTCTCCCCTCCTCTTGCTAAAGTTCATCCATCGTTACCTAACAGAATCACTGTTCAATATTCTCTCGCGCCCAATCCGCATCTGAGAATACTATCACGCAGCTGAAGCCAAAGTGACCCAGCAGGCAGAGACTGTGAGTGAAATTCAGCGTAGTGCTTAGTGGAGCATGCTCAGTGGGACCTTTCCCCTCTCCTTCCCCTGTGGACCCTCTAAACCTGTTCTGGGGACTAGCAAAAATGTACAGAGTAAGTAATAAATTGTGTTGGAAATGTCAAACAAAAGATGGTGAATTTTTTCACATGTGGTGGACTTGTGAAAAAATGAAAAAATATTGGGACATGATGTATAACGAAATGAAAAAACTATTTAAATACACTTTCCCAAAGAAACCAGAAGCATTTTTGCTAGGGATAACGGGATGAATTAAAAAAGGAAGATTACAAACTATTCATGTACACAACGACTGCTGCTAGAATTTTAGTGGCTCAGAAATGGAAATCCCAAGAAATCCCAACTTTAATGGAGTGGCAGACAAAAATGTTTGAATACATAGAATTGACAAAATTGACTTATAACATTCAGAACAAAAAGAACGAAAAGAAAAGAAGTAAAGTTCGAAAAGGATTGGAGTAAATTTGTTGAATATACACGGAGTAATTGTAAGAATTTAAAAACTGTAGCAGGATTAATGTAAATCTTGTGATGTGGACGGAGTGTAAATAAGAAACTGTAAGAAAAGATTTGAGATATGAAAACCGTTGAAGGGATGGAAGGAAGTCCGGGCGCAATAAGGCGCAGGGTAAATAAGAAGACATACAAATTTTGAATGTAAGAGTATTTGTTTTATTTGTTGTTGTTACGAAAAAGCAATAAAAAGTATTTGGGGGGAAAAATAAACCTGTTCTGGGGATTCCTCCAACCTTCCAGAGCATATTTAGGGCACAGGGGGACCTCATTCCGTTACATGAGTGGAACTCATCATATGCATGCAACACCTTCGTTGAGTCTCGCCCCTTATGGTTGGTAGCAGGAAGCCATTAATATTTCCCATGCATCCAAATCTACTGATTTCAGTGATGGTCCCTGAGCTTTCCTAGTTGCTCAAACTTCAGTGCTGGACTCCTGAAAGAGTTGCATTTCAGCTGGTTCAGAATGGGCCCAAGTCACCCCACAGGAGTCCACAGGAGTCAGCCAGTACGTGCTGAAAAAGTAAATATATATAAATACATTCCACACTTGGATCCTGGGTTCCTTCGAGATCCTGGGATAGAAATTCAGTAAATAATACTGAAAAGAATACAGTTCAGTAAAGAATACTGTCATTTAAGCCAATTTATTTGCAGTGTTGCTTCCCAGCTTCAGCAGAACTGTGAAAAAATATCTTAGGAATAATTGTATAGGTTTCAGTGTGACCAGTCAATACCACGTATTGCTACTACTACTACTGTTATCCTTAATTAAATTTCACCCAAAGATCACAGGGCAACACTGTGTATATTGTGTTTTACAATACATTGGTACCTCAGGTTACAGATGCTTCAGGTTACAGACTCCTCTAACATTACCTTGGGTTAAGAACTTTGCTTCAGGATGAGAACAGAAATCGTGTAGCGGTGGCGCAGCGGCAACAGGAGGCCCCATTAGCTAAAGTGGTGCTTCAGGTTAAGAACAGTTTCAGGTTAAGAATGGACCTCCAGAATGAATTAAGTTCTTAACCTGAGGTACCACTGTATAAAAACACAAAAACACATACCATAATAACAAACAAAAACCACCCCCACCCCAGTTTTAAAGGCCTACCACAAATTACGCAGCTGAGTTTACCGCATTTGGGTAAATTGCAGAGATCAGCATACCTGTTTCATCAATGGATGAGCCTCACCCTGGGAAAGCCATCTTTGTGACTGCGGTATCTCCCCTGCTACATTTATTTTATGTTAGCACTAGAAGACAAGAAAGGCTGATTCTGATACCAGACTGTGAGGGGTCTACTTTAGCTGATTGGAGCACAGAATTGCAGACTAGGAACTAGGAAATCGGACAAGTGGCCCACCTAGTGCCGTATTTGTCTTCAATGATTGGCAGTGCTTCTCCAGGACTCCAGGTGAGGGTCTCTCCCATCCCTAATGCCGGAGATGGAACCTGAGATCTTCTGCATGCAAAGTGGATGTTCTACCTCTGAGCTATGGCTCTTTCCTTGAATACCGGAGTGAGCAGCAGTATTGGTGATAGAATAGATAGAGAAGTTCTGATCCATTGAGAGCATTCAGGGTGGTCCCTCAAAGGTCTTCCACATGAGCAAATGTCCACAGGGAGTGTCTAGGAAGCAGCTTGACTATTGGCCCAGCCCTTTCAGCTGACCACCACCAATATGCTGTGTGTATAAAGACACATACGGCATGGACAGAAGCCCTTAATGAGCTGCAGCTTCCTGATGGGTCTGTCTGGGTCATCATCATCATCCTTTTTATTCGACCGTCAGTCAGAAAAAAGTACATTTTGTCAATACACAGTTAAAAACATCCAGGAAGATGTTAAAACTTAGCCAACACTAAAAAGGGCTAAACAGGTAGCCCCATAGGTCTGTCTGGGTATGTGAGGAATCACGCCTTCAATTCACAGCTTTTGTGTCACTGCGCAAACACTGATTGTGGCACTGGTGGGCAGCACAACGGCTGCAAAAGTGTCGATCTGGTGGAAGAGACTGTTTTTAAGTAGCTGGCAATAATTGTGTAGCTTTTAAAGCACATAACAGACTCCCGTTATTTTCACAACCATCACATATGACTCACAATTTAATACAGAATTGAAACAATTCTTTGTGTGGGGACGACAAAGAACAGTAAAACTTAGAACAATGTTAGTTAACATGAGTCATAGCCTTGATGCCAAATTAATAAGGCCACTGAAACTGGAAGACTAATTGGCAGAAATGACTGGCAGAATCCGAGACCAGGGAGAAGAGTCGGTGGAAGAAGATTGGAAGAAATTTAAAGACTACTTACAGAAATATTGTAAAATTAATGAATGTTAGAATGATGTTGGATTGAAGTTAAGTGGTTTCTAGCTGTAATGGTATAAAAGAATATGGAAAAATTGGTTTTCAATACGTAAAAACTTAATGTTATAATATATTAAGATTAAAGATCAGGATTAAAAAGGAGGGAACGGAATTGCTGGACTAACAAATTGAATTGCAATACAAAAAAGGGAGGTATGAGGAGGTCCGGGAAATAAGTAAATGTAAGAGAAGTGATGAAAAGATGGAATTGTTTTTAACTGTTTTTTCTTTTTTTATTGTTATTTTTCTTATCAATGTAATCTTTTTCTTTTGAAATTTTAATAAATATCATTTAAAAAAAAAAGAAACTGGAAGACTTCCGGAGGTGGCGCCAACGGCAATGGCGGAATCCCTCTAATTCGGAGGGAAACTGCTCCACAGAAATCGGGTCTAACACCGCTTCGGCACAGCGGGGACCCTTTAAACCACAGGCGGGTGAAGCCTGTGACCCTGTGACTCGGCGGGCACTGTTTGCGCCCCCCCCCCCAATCTGCAAAGGAACCCGGCAACGGGCACCGGAACAGAGCGGGGAAGTGGCGCTGTGCTGCGAGTCGTCTGCTTCTTTTGTGGAGTGAAGCCGCGTAGCTGTTGCCGGAGAGCGCTGCCTTTTTTCCTGGACAATTCGGACTTTAAAACAAACACCCGTGAGTACTTAGAATTTGAACAAATTGGGACAGTAAATGAAGATTTGTGAAAAGGACAGAATTGGACTATAAAAAAGAAAAGAAAAAAATCTGTTGAATTTGGTACGGAGCGGGAAGGGCTAAACAGGAAGTCACCCTTCCGTTCTTTTGTAAATAGAACAAAGCAAAGGCAATTTACACTAGAGCTTTGAAAATTGCTTTTAAAAGAGTGGATTCCAACATTTTAAACTGGGAATATTTTTTTTTGACTATTTGAAGTAGTAAAAGGAAGTTATTTTCGTCCTGATCCTGGAGCGGGGAAGTCAGGACTGACGTGAATTAATCAAGATAACTGTGTGTGACAGATAGTTAAAAGAAGAGAATCTTTGTGACTCTACTGTTCCCTTTCGCATTTTAAAGGAATATATATGGATAAAGTATTTCAAGTATCTTGGAAATGTAGCAAAAACAAATATAAGTCTTCTCCCTAGGGGGAGCCTTTGAAACTGTAACTAATGCCAAGAACTTGACAGTTGCTACAAATAACCGTGGGAAAGCGCAACAATGTTTTCAGAAGTTGTGGTGTGCCTGCTTAATAAAACAAATACTCTACTGGAAGAATTATATGATAAGGTGAACCAGATGGCCAATTCGACTGGAAATCTTAGGCAGGCAGTGGAAGGTTTTGATCAGACTGTGGGAATATATGTGGAGTCTATCCAGGACTCAAACCAGGAGTGTGTTTTGACAGAACAGGGGTTTGTGGCATTAAATCAGGAGTGTGGCTTGACAGAACAGTCTCAACAGGAGTTTGATCCTTCGGATTTGACAAAGGAACTTGGAAAAAAACCAGATCTGGGAAGGGAAAGTTCGGTGTGGTTTGGAAATGGGGGGCTGGATTGACCCCCCTATGTCGGGATATCTGGACTTTTTAAATACAGTAACAGGCTGCGACATGTTTGGAATTGTGGGGGCCCACAATTTCGGAGGGCCCTTGAAGCATGCTCTTAAATACTACATGGAATGCAGCGATGAATATGGGAAAGGGTCTGATTTGATGAGAAGGGCTGAAAACACTATTAAGTTGGAGTTACTACGAGCAAGTGACTACAGCCACAAATATGAAGAAAAGCCGTGGAAGGGCCATGGAAGTGACCTGAGGGCCTCGGACATAAGGTCACCGGGTTAGATTGAGGAATAAGGACTGACAAATCCCGGAACCAGGAGGAAGGGACGTTGGATAAAGATTGGACTTGTTTATATGCTTTTTTCTCTTTTTTCTTTTTTTAACTAATAGAATGTTTTATAAAGTTGATGAATGATAGAATGATAGAAAAATGAATGATAGAAAAATGTTGGAAGAAATTACCTGGCTTTAGTAAAGATGCATAAAGAATTATGAAAGAACATTATGAACACAAGAAGCTGGTAAAGTTAAGACTCAAATTTTAAATTTTAAGGTTTATTTTATTATAGAAAGATAGGATTAAATTAGTTGAGAATCTCTCTTATGTTTTATTTTCTTTTTGAAACATGGAAAGGAAAGGATTTTCTGGGATAATTAACAACTAGAATACAAAGGAAGGGAGGAGGAGGAGGTCTAAGAAAGAAGGTAATGACAGTTAAGGATCTGAAAATAATGAATTTGTTCTGTTTTTTCTTTTTTATTATTATTTTTCTTCTGTATCTTCTACTTTCTCATATTTTTATTTTTATTTTTGTATTTTTTTTGTGTAAGCTTTTGTATTTTCTACTTTTTGTTTTTGTGTAAGTTTTGTATTTTTTGAAATCTCAATAAATATCATTAAAAAAAAGAAAAAAAGAAAAGATGGAATTGTTTTTAACTGTTTTTTCTTTTTTTATTGTTATTTTTCTTATCAATGTAATCTTTTTCTTTTGAAATTTTAATAAATATCATTTAAAAAAAAAAGAAACTGGAAGACTAGGATAAATATGCAAGTATACTACTACATTTAACTGTTTCCCTGACCACCACAACTGTGCTGCTTTATTTTGAACCGATTGACAGGTCTGGTGCAAGATTACTGTGGTGATGTTTATTTACTTCTTGACGACCAACTACTACTGGATCTTGGTTGAAGGCCTCTATCTGCACAGCTTAATATTTGTGGCTTTCTTTTCGGATACCCAGTACCTTTGGGGTTTCATCTTAACAGGCTGGGGTAAGATACATTTGTCTCTCATTGAAATCTTTCCATTTAAAGCTAGATTAGTGCTGTCCATTCTAACATTAACTCTTGGGCAATGCTTTTCTATTTTTTATTTTAAATTCTTTTTGCAAACCACAAAATCAGAAGGGGGTGGTTTACGTATTTTCTCAGTTTTGTGAGTTAGGTCCAAACTGACAGTGCGATGCTGAGGATGCTTACTGAAGAAGAAGCCCCACTGTGTTTTGCAGAACATTTTCCCAGGTAAGCGTGCAAGGATTGCAGCCAAAATAAGTTTCGGGTAGGTCCTAGTAAAATTGGTATGGGTGATACCCAGCTTATCGGTTTTGCTACTGCGAGGATAGCCATCTGTCATGGATGCTTTAGCTGAGATTCCTGCATTGCAGGGGGGTGGACTGGATGACTCCCGGGGTCCCTTCCAGCTCTACAATTCTATGATTCTAAGGAGTTCTAGTTGTGCACTGGAACTCCCTACCTCTCTGTTGGGATGCACCCAAGGGGACGGGGGCAATTGGCAGGCCCCCAGCTGGCTCCAGCCCACTGGCCAGCATCCGGGCGAACTCTGGTCCTTGGATCAGCACGTAACTGCGACCTGAGCTTCAGAAGCCATCAGAAGCTGGGCAGCCAAGCCAGCAGAGATAAGAACTCTTTGCAACGGAAGGGCAGAGAGAGGCTGTATAAAGCGTATTTACAGGCATTTTATTCAGCAACAGGACAAAGAAAAACATGTCTGCTCTCCTTTGTGTCCAAGCAAAAGGGCAAAAGCTATACACACAAACGGAAGTTCCCAGCAAGCTGTGCTGTGCTGGAGTGTAAACAGGCATGTGACACACAACAGTCATGCCTGTTCCTCTTAAGGTGGAACGGAATATTCTAACACTCTCCTCTCCCTGCACACACCCTAAATTTGTTCTGGGGGAGTTCCCTCAACCCTCCAGAGCAGATTTACAGGACGTGCAGGATTGATGGTGCTGTGACTTAAGTCACAATGATTTCAACAGGACTTAAGTGGAACGAACATGCAGTGCAATTGTATGCACGCTTACTCAGAAGTTCAATAGGATTTTTTTTGTTGTTTAGTCGTGTCTGACTCTTCGTGACCCCATGGACCAGAGCTCACCAGGCACTCCTGTCTTCCACTGCCTCCCGCAGTTTGGTCAAACTCATGCTGGTAGCTTCAAGAACACTGTCCAACCATCTTGTCCTCTGTCGTCCCCTTCTCCTTGTGCCCTCCAACTTTCCCAACATCAGGGTCTTTTCCAAGGAGTCTTCTCTTCTCATGAGGTGGCCAAAGTATTGGAGCTTCAGCTGTACTTCCAGTGAGCACTCAGGGCTGATTTCCTTCAGAATGGATAGGTTTGTTCTTCTTGCAGTCCATGGGACTCTCAAGAGTCTCCTCCAGCACCATAATTCAAAAGCATCAATTCTTCGGCGATCAGCCTTCTTTATGGTCCAGCTTCCATACATCACTACTGGGAAAACCATAGATTTTACTATACGGACCTTTGTTGGCAAGGTGATGTCTCTACTTTTTAAGATGCTGTCTAGGTTTGTCATTGTTTTTCTCCCAAGAAGCAGGCATCTTTTAATTTCGTGACTGCTGTCACCATCTGCAGTGATCATGGAGCCCAAGAAGGTAAAATCTCTCACTGCAATAGGATTTACTTCCATGTAATTAGGATTGCAGCCTTAGCCTAGATACAAATTTATTTCATGAATATTTCACAAAAGAATGTCTCCCAAATGCTAAAACTTCTAATCAGATAATCATTGTACTTAAAAAATAGTGAATAGGAGCAAAATGTTAACAATATTTATTATTCCAACGTAACACAAACTTTAGTGAGAAATCTTTGATCTTTTGCACCGCCTTGCAGTCTCAGAGTCGTATATAATTTGTCATTTTTGCTACAATGGCAATGCCCAAATCTTTTTTAAAAAATCAACCCAAAAAATCATCAGACGGGAGACTTTATAATGTATATCAGGATCCAAATCTGATTTGTGGCAAATCGCCCATCGTCCAGCAACTCCCTCTTCCTCATCTCCTGTCCAGGACGGCCCACAGCCTTGCAGAAAGGCTTTAGGGACACAAGTGTCTGAAGGGAAGAAAAGAAACATCCCTTCCCTCTGTGAACTTCCTTGAGTTAACTGTCTTAGGATTCAAGCCCACCTCTGCTGCCGCAACCCTCTGGTCTCTCATTGTGGTGTAAAATCCCTTTTGTGGACTTGCCACTGAAGACAAGAGGATCACAGAATGGCATGCTGCTTCGCAGAAAAGCACCTAGAGAAGCCTGCCATGTCTAGGAGAACCCTAGACCTTTTCTTCCTTACGTTTAGTTCAGGACCATTCCGTCATGTGAGACCTCGGGCGCTGCCTGAAATGGTTCAGTCCAGACACAGCTTTACCACCATCAAGTGAAAATGAGGAGTCTGTTGGTCTGTAGTTTGCTAGCAGCATCCGTGTCTCATAAAGGATTGTTTGGCCTCTGTCTGCCTTGTTCTCTGTTCTATCCATGCCTCCGCGCATGTCGCAGTTCTCGCTTGTGCTTGAAGAGCTGTCTAGCTAATGAGACACTTGAGGCAGGAGGCAACCCACTCCCTGTCTCTGCTGTGTCAGTGCTGCTGGGTGCAGGCTTGATGTGAGGGAAGTTTCTGTGCACAACTTAGACCCCGAGTGATTTACGTTAACAAGCTCCCATCAGAACTAAGGCTGCTATATTTTGTCAAGATGCAAGGCTAGGAGTTTCAAAAAATGATGTGAAGCAGGGACCGTGACTAACTGTAAGTTTTAATTCCTTTGAAAGCGAAATGCCAAATTCACCTGGTTCTTTCACTGTTTGGGGAGGTGAGGTACACATAATAATGTGAAACTGGCTTACACTGAATCAGACCGAATCAAAATAGTGTTTGAATCTAGCAGGATAGAGGTTTATTTGATCATCACATTCCTTGCTTCTGACTATTGCCTCTGCTTAATACTTCTGAGAGACTCTGAAGCACTAACATAACCTGCAAGTTCCTGTTCGACCAGAAACAACAGATTAATTTCAATTTGCCTGGAGGCAGATTTCATTAAAGACAAATTTTAAACGCATTTTCCCCTTAAGCTTGGAGCTATTAAAGCCACAAAGTTCTGATTCAAGAGCTAAATGATGGCCGCTTTTTTACTCTCAAGCTCTCTTTTAAGTCAATTTAATGTTGGCAGAAGATCTTTTAAAATAAACACTATTATTATATTATTCTAGGCTGGTTATAAATACCTTACTAGGAAATATGTTCTATTGAAATAAATTGAACTTATTTCCAAGTAGACTACTAGGATCAAACCATGCACCAAACAATGTCCACTAGAACTCATCTAGATCAAGGGAAGTAATAGTGCCACTGTATTCTGCTCTGGTCAGACCTCACCTGGAGTACTGTGTCCAGTTCTGGGCACCACAGTTCAAGAAGGACACTGACAAACTGGAACGTGTCCAGAGGAGGGCAACCAAAATGGTCAAAGGCCTGGAAACGATGCCTTATGCAGAACGGCTAAGGGAGCTGGGCATGTTTAGCCTGGAGAAGAGGAGGTTAAGGGGTGATATGATAGCCATGTTCAAATATATAAAAGGATGTCACATAGAGGAGGGAGAAAGGTTGTTTTCTGCTGCTCCAGAGAAGCGGACATGGAGCAATGGATCCAAACTACAAGAAAGAAGATTCCACCTAAACATTAGGAAGAACTTCCTGACAGTAAGAGCTGTTTGACAGTGGAATTTGCTGCCAAGGAGTGTGGTGGAGTCTCCTTCTTTGGAGGTCTTTAAGCAGAGGCTTGACAACCATATGTCAGGAGTGCTCTGATGGTGTTTCCTGCTTGGCAGGGGGTTGGACTCGATGGCCCTTGTGGTCTCTTCCAACTCTATGATTCTATGATTCTAGGTATATTTCATGTGCTTGCAAAATCTCATTGCTAGAGTTTAATTTGAAGGAGCTCTGTTGTTGGGGGAGTTTCAATATTAGCTAATGGAATTATATAATAATAAAATCCTAATATAATAACACTCTTACAGATGCCAACAACAGCTAAAATATGTAGAAAATAATTGCTGAGGTGTGTGGGTCCCAAAATAAATAAGCTTTGGACAAACTCACATTTATTTTGGGAATGTTTGAAGATAAAATAATATTGGAAAACCGTTCTGTGGTATATTCATCAAATTACAGGTTATGAAATTGTTCTGAATTCGGTAGGTGTGTTATTAAATCATCAAGTGCTAAGCGACACTGATTTGGAAGAAGCGATAAATTTATTCAGTAGGCACTAAGGTGACAATTGCTCATTATTGGGGAAAAAACCTCTTCCTCCTTCAGTGCCAGAGTGGTTATATACAGTAGCTATAATGATGTGCAGGTACATATCTTATCTGTTCAGAGAGGAGATACCATGCAAAACAGCATTATTCAGAAATGGACCACGTTCTTTCAACCAAGTGCTCAAAAAGTGGAAAGAGAAGTACAAGGGGTCTGTTTCAAAGTAGGACATGGTTATATCCCTTAAGTTTAGAGTTACCTGAAAAGGTGAGTTCTTCAAGCACTGCAATAAACATGATGATGATGAAGATGATCATGTTAGGTCACATGCCTTCTTCTCCTTTTTTGATAGCATTATAACTCTTAAAGTAATGTATGGGTTTTTATTGCCATATTTCTTGGATATGGTTGTTTTTTTTTGGTTTTGGTTTTTTTACAATCCATTTGATATAAACACTTTTCTTGTATTTTTATGTTTTGTAAATAAAACATAGGCTTCCCCTACCCAAACCTCTGTATGAAACCTCAATAGCCGTCTCACAGTTCATTAATTCTTAGCATCACATAATCCGGAATTTTTTGTTACTCCAAAGTGCATTGATCAGAATACCCAAAATATCTTAAGTGGGATGTATAAGGCCAAAACTGATTTTATAGATCTAATTCAGATAGTATAAACTAGTGTACTTTAATCCGAATCGTTCATCTGCACTAGAGCAGATGTCAGGAAGCTGGCTTCTTTAAATAAACCCTAGTTAAAACTGACCATAGTTTAGGGTTTGCATGATGATATAAACTGGTTACCGGTCATTGAAATGTGAACTTAGTGGAGGAGGAGATGGGATGGGAAGCAGGTGAGCTTCAGGCTAGCTGCAATTTGTCATCAGCAGAAATTGAAGGTTTTCTTGCTTGCTGTGGATCGTGACCTTTCAGACATTCTGCTTTGTTCATGGGGAAAGGGCACTGTCTGGGTTTTTTTGTGCCTGCTCTTTCTAAACGCTTCAGTTAATATCCTCTGAGTGAGCAGAAAAGCATTATAAATTATTCTTTTGTTCCTCAAGGGAAATCTGTTCTAACAGCTGGCAATGAATTTTTCATATTTGTAGGGTTTCCGGCTGTTTTTGTGGTGGCCTGGGGAGTGGTCCGAGCAACCGTGGCAGATGCAAGGTAAGGGAACACTTTCAAGAGAGTTTACTTGAGCTTTCCTTTTTTTTAATCGATGGATGACTGGCACACTGCCATTCAAGTTCTGCATATATTTTGAGTATACACTGACATAGAACCGAAGGTAGCAGTTTGAAGAAAATATATCTGCAGTGCACCCTTCTGAGACTGTTAATGGAAAATATGCTCAAGGTCCCTGTTTAGACCAGTCCTCCCACATTGCCTCCATTTATAAAAGTTTTAAACAGGCAAGTATTTTGTAATGTTATTTATTTCGTGCAATTTATTCACTGCTTGATTGTAAAAGAGTGTGTGAGAGAAAAAACTATCGAAGCGGTTTACAAGAGTGGCTTGGGCAATCCACTGACAAGATAAGTGGCATATAAATGTCAAAATTATTATTATTACATATATGTTCTATTGTAAACTGTCCATATTTGATGTTGGCTCATGTATCAGTGTGAACTACCCTGGAATCATTTGGCAAAGGGTAAAGGGACCGCTGACCATTAGGTCCAGTCGCGGAAGACTCTGGGGTTGCGGCGCTCATCTCGCTTTATTGGCCGAGGGAGTCATGTGTCCAGCATGACTAAGCCACTTCTGGCGAACCAGAGCAGCGCACAGAAACACCGTTTACCTTCCCACCGTAGTGGTACCTATTTATCTACTTGCACTTTGACGTACTTTCGAACTGCTGACAACTATGTAATTGCTATAACTTTTTTGTTAATTCTGATCCCTTCAAAAACCAAATTGCAGGTAGCTACGGAGAACAATGGCACTATAAAACAAATTTATAGTAATTTTACTAAATGTTTTTTTCAATCTGGGTTTTTGAAAACTGTAGCCCGGTTTTTAAAATTTAATTCTTCCCCTGTTCTGTTCTGAACGTTGAATGGGGAAGGGGCTCCTTCACCTTTCACGGTTGTGTCGGAGAGAACTTTGGGCAGGCTTGGCTTGCCTTTCAAGACACAGAGACTGAAATTCCCTCTTCTGTTAAGGTTGCAAACGCCCTCTCCTGTTTTGCATCTGGAACACCCTAATTAAATGTCACAGCAATATCAATATCAATGTTTATCTCATTTGGAGCGGTGAGATATATTTCACTTATTGCAGACTTGTTTCTTTCCAATCCCTCAGACAGATCTTTGAGCCGTGGTGCTTTCTGAATGCACTTGGCTTGAGTTGCCTTGACTGGGGGCTTATCCAAACTTCCTCTTCCCCGGTTGCTTTCCCCCTCGGGAAAACTGCTCTTTGGCGAGGTTTCCATGGATTGCTGTTTGTTCTGATTTAGCACCAGAGAGTGGATTTTCCAGGGGGAAGCAGCGGGGCAAAGGCAAAACCCCTCACACCCCTGCTTTCTAGGCCTGGGGCGAGTGGAAGCGTAGAGCCCTTAAGCATGCTGGCAATGTTTTATACTGGGGAAAATTATCCCAGTCACACACCCTTTGCCCCCCACTTCTCCTCAGCAACTGCTTATTGTTGAAACTCAGTTTTCTTATTCACCACCACCACCCGCTTGACATGTGGAGAAAACTTGTGGCTCCTGATCCAGCTGAAGACCTCACAAAAAACGAGGGCAAGCATATCATCCTACCTGGATCAGGAGCCAAAAAGGTGGGGCTTTGAGGCAGTTTTTTGTTTGCCATTATATTCAGCGAGATAGCTATCAAAGGTGCAATCCAGCCAGAATTAAGCATTATGAAATTCCACCTTACTTCATTTATATCCCTCTTTTTCTGTGCTGTGTGACTGAAGATTCTGTACCTTGAGGATTCCTGAGCACGCTCCTGTCTAGGACTGATCACACCCGGAGCTACGTAGAGTCAGAAAGTCAGCATCGTTTGCTGGAAGGCCACGAGACCATTGATTAAAATGCAAAATTTAAGGATCCCATACTTAAACCTCTCCCACTTAAATCAATGGTGCCTAACAGTGCTTCATTAGGGCTGTAATGTGTCCAAGTCCATTCGTTCTCTCTCTCAAATTTGCCTCACAGAGATAATAAATTAGCAAATATCCAGAGAAAATTATAGAAAGCTCCCTAAGGATCAGACATGCCATGTATGATCAGCCAGAAGTCCTGCTGATATAAAAAATTGGTACTTGCTAGACTGGATTGCTTTGAGAAGGAAAAAGTAATTGAAAACTTTTTATTTCTCTCATTAAAAAGAGAGCAAGATAACTGGTCATAAGGACAATTAATTCTTTTTCACAGGCCAGGCTCCTTGCTTGGACAGCCTTCTAGAGTGAGCTGCAGGCTACAGACAGATGCTCTTATCTATCAGCAGCTGAGGTTTCAGAAGTCAATCTGAGGACAAATAGCTTAGAATCATTGAACCACAGAATGGTAGAGTTGGAAGGGACCCTGTGGGTCATCTAGTCTAACCCCCTGCAATGCAGGAAATCTCAGCACACAGTCTCCCATCCAATGTGAAACCACACCAGACCCTGCTTAGCTTTGCAAATGTGCCAGCAGTTTTGTTCCTTGCCTCTGGTCCTCCGACTAGAGGGGAAAGGCCTTAGGATGGCAGGTTGGAATCAAGAGTTGAGCCCAGCCTGAAGAGAAGGCAGCCTTGTCGCCTGCTGCTATGTGCTGCAGGAACTCACCCCTGTGCTCTCAGCCAGCATGCGTATTATTGAAGTACATGCAGAGAGTCCCTTCACACACTGGCCAGGGATGCAAACAATGGGCATAAGCCCCCTTGTATGTTTAAATAGATAGATTCCTGCTCAGTTTGCTTGTTCTCACTTTGTCACCAGTTAACATTAAAAAGTCACAATTGCTCTTATTGCTCCTACAAGTTTTCCTTCTGTGGGCCTTCCTAACCTCAGGGGAGAATGATTTCCACCCCCTCCACCACCCCTTTTTGTATTTAAGGTTATTTTTTAAGGGAAATGACTGCTGTGCACACATTTTGTTGTTGTTGTTTAGTCGTTTAGTCATGTCCGACTCTTCGTAACCCCATGGACCAGAGCACGCTAGGCACTCCTGTCTTCCACTCCCTCCCGCAGTTTGGTCAAACTCATGCTGGTAGCTTCGAGAACACTGTCCAACCATCTCATCCTCTGTCGTCCCCTTCTCCTTGTGCCCTCCATCTTTCCCAACATCAGGGTCTGTTCCAGGCAGCCTTCTCTTCTCATGAGGTGGCCAAAGTATTGGAGCCTCAGCTTCAGGATCTGTCCTTCCAGTGAGCACTCAGGGCTGATTTCCTTCAGAATGAATAGGTTTGATCTTCTTGCAGTCCATGGGACTCTCAAGAGTCTCCTCCAGCACCATAATTCAAAAGCATCCATTCTTCGGCGATCAGCCTTCTTTATGGTCCAGCTCTCACTTCCATATATCACTTCGAAAGGGTGGTGGTGGTGGAGGAATAATCTGAGTTTAGGGCTGTAGTACACACATCCCCCCCCCCTGCTTTTCCCTGCACCAAGTAACCCACCCAGTTCTACTTCTCCTGTTCCATATATTCCATTGCAGTGATTTTTGAGTTGAAAGAGCAGGCTCGCCCATATGCTACACTTAATGAACATTGTGTGCAAATCAGCTGGTGGTTTATCAAAAAAGAAAATGAAAAAGAGAGGGGATTTAAATCGGCCAGCCATTCACTGTTCTCGGCACTCAGAAAGGTATTTTTTGTCTCCTTTCCCACTTCCTGAGCTCCAGCAGCGGCTAACAAGCAGCTGATATAAATCCCCTCTTTTCCTTTTCCTTTAAAGCACCCATTAACTAATTTGCGCACGCTAGTCATTCCTCCTCTCCATTTATTTCCCACTGCTGGAAATTTACCCGATCGCTTACTAAAGGGAAACGGTGAGGAGGTGGAGAAAGAGGAGTTGCCGAAAGAGAATGGGGCGAAAGCTGAGCGAGGGGCCAACCGCCTCCTGTCTGGGATGTGGCACTGGCACATGATCTCTGGCTGTTTTGGGCCTTCCATGGATCCAAAAGCCCTGCAAGGTGGAGAAGTCTGGGACAGCACTGAGAAGCATAGTGCGAAAGGACTACACCCAGCACCCCTATGTTGCTCAGAGTACCAGCTAGCATTTACCAGGAAGTGCCAGGGCAGGCATCAACGATGGGCTTTGGGACTTAGGGGCACTGGCAGTGCCCAGGGATGTCAGCTGCTGACAGCAGATGGTATGTGCCCAAGTAGATAGAAAATGGAAAGCCCCTGACTGTCCCGTTGCAGATACCTGTTGCCACAAGGCAGACCAAGGCAGTGTTAGTATTTCACTCCTCCCATTGCAAGGATCATCTGATCCTCTTGTTTACTTTCTGTTCCGTGAGAAAGGAAGCCTGTCTGTGTGACTTCCATCTCTGGTACTATTGTACTTTTTCTTTCTGCTCTGTCTTGCGACGAGACAGGATGTCTGTATGAGGGCTGCTCCTTTCAGACGTGCTTATTATGTTCTTTAATCTGTTATTAGTAGAAATATTTCTACTAATTACAGATTAAAGAACTTAATAAACATTATGAGGAGGTGAGGAGGTATCTGGGCTGCTTTACTGTTAAGTGGTGGGTGAACATATCAGACGACACAGCGATTCTTCAAACAGCTCTTCTTTATTCAGAGGCAAGAACAGAACTGAACTGAAGGGCTCAGTCAGCCTGCTTATATAGAGCTCCAGTACCTCGTTACTGTAACAACTTTCTAAAACTATCCAATCACTGAACGTCACTTTCGATCCTTCATTTGCATACAAACTATCCAATCACTGAATGTCACTTTCGATCCTTCATTTGCATAACTATCTACAGTATCCCCCTGCTGGCCCAGGGTGAGAACTTCAGTACATAACATTTACTATGCTAAGACCGGGTGCTCACAAGAGAGCAGCTGTGAGTCCCAGAACACCAGGACCCCTTCCCAAGAACGCTGCGTAGCTGTTCCAGTTGCCAGAGAGGCCGTGGGGCCTGCAGGAGTGTTCCATTAAGCAGTTGCCTCAGGTGGCAGAATCCAAGGGTGCTTCTGCGGTCTTGCCCCTACCCCACTGCTCCCACTGGGATCTCCCAATCTGTGTGCCCGCGAAGGCTGTTGTGAGGTTGCACCAGAACCCAGAAGGTGCAGCTGTTTGTCCCCAGCAGGAGCGCCAGGGTTCTGTCCAATATTGTGGGTGCTCATTGAGTGTGTGTGATGGCTGCAGCTCCGGTGGCTGACATCTGGGCAGCTGGGTGGGGGCTGATGGGCAGCCAGCCTGGTGCACGTCACTTACTCCCCCCTCCCCAAATCCTCCAGATGTGTGCCCAGGCACCAGCTTCCTGGAACAGGAACACCCCTCCGATGTAGGGGTCTTGGGCGGCCTGTCCACCCGCCGGGCACCCACAGTGGAAATTTTGCCTATGTTCTCCAATAAGTAAAACTTGGTTGGGGGTGGCAAGTGGGGGTGAGCACTGTGCACACTGTCTGACCAGGGCAGCACCTTCCCGCTTCACCTCCAGCATTGGATCATGCCCCGTTAAATGTTTTCTTGCAGAGTATCAATGCATCCTGGGGAAGGAAATTATAAGAATACAAGAATACATTATGAGCAAGAGTATTCCTTTAACAGTAATAATAGTTCTCCTCGCTATTACAGTGCCCCAAAGGTACCTCTGGAGACAGAACTATGCTAGAAAAGCTTAACCTTATACAAAATTATTAATCAGACAACTCACCCCTAATGAGCAATTACTAGCTAGTGGATGTGATGTGTCCTCAATTTCTTCTTCATTATGTGAAGAAAGCGTTGCATTTCCTTGCTGAAACAACCTCTCTCTGGTTTCTCTTCAGATCATATGAATCTTTCGCCTCTTTCACCTGTTGAGGTTTAAACTAAATGCTGTTTGCTTAAAAAGAAATGTTTCAGGCTTTTAAATTGCTCTGAAATGTTCGGCTACCACAAGTCAGCGGGCACAAAATTCAGTCAGTGCAGGTGGGTTGCAGGCCTGCTATATTTGCTCTCTCTCCTTCTGTGAAAGAGAAGGGCATGATCACACAGAAGTTGTTCTCCTAGGGTGATGGACTATATGGAATTGGCAGAAATGACTGGCAGAATCCGAGACCAGGGGGAAGAGTCGGTGGAAGAAGATTGGAAGAAATTTAAAGACTATTTACAGAAATATTGTAAAATTAAGGAATGATAGAATGATGTTGGATAGTAATTAAGCGGTTTCTAGCTGTAATGCTTTAAGAGAATATGAAAAAAAAGGGTTATAAATGGGTTAAAATCTAATGGAAAGGATTTGCTGAACCAATAAATCAAAGTGGAATACAAAAAAGGGAGGTATGAGGAGGTCCGGGAAACAAGCTAAAGGAAAATAAGTAACTGAAAATATGTGTGTTTTTAACTGTTTTTATTTTGTATTTTTCTTTTTTCTTTTTCATTTCTATTGTAATATTTTTTAAAAAAACCTTAATAAATATCTTATAAAAAAAACAGAAGTTGTTCTCCTAGGGCACAGCTGGTATACGTAAGAGAAACTACAGTGGTACCTTGGTTCTCAAACTTAATGTGTTCTGGAAGTCCGTTCCAAAACCAAGGCGTGCTTTCCCATAGAAAGTAATGAAAATTGGATTAATCTGTTCCAGACTTTTAAAAACAACCCCAAAAACAGCAATTTCACATGAATTTTACTATCTAATGAGACCATTGATCCATGAAATGAAAGCAGTAAACAATGCACTGCAGTCACACAATCAATCAATCAATCAATCAATCAGTAGCTGAACTGGGTTTCACACAGTCACAAAAACAAAAGCGCAAAATAAATAGCAAAAACAGACAGACCTCAGCGTAACACTCAAAACGGAAGTGTGGCACTCAAATCAGAAGTGTAACACTCAAAACGGAAATGTAACACTCAAAACGGGAGCACGTTTGGCTTCTGAAGAAAGTTCACAAACCGGAACACCAAGGTACCACTGTATATTGCTCTAGTATTTATATGTCTGGATTCATAATCCATTAGCTTCCAGACCCAGTTCGAAGTCCTGGCTCTTAGCTTTAAAGCCCTAACCAGCCAACATCTTCCATATCTCAAAAAGCTTATTCTCCATTTATTTGTGGTTAGTCTTTAGAGAAGGTCGTCAGGGCCTTCTCTGCTGTGGCACCTATCCTTTGGAGCACCCACCTCCAGATCATTAAATTTGCTCCTTCCTTGGGCAGTTTCAACCACAGGTGAAAACTTTAATTTGCTAAGGCGATTGCCAGAGCTTGGCAAGAAAGCAGGTTTCAGTCTTTTGCCTCTGTATTTGATTTTACAGGGCTGGTTCTAGTATGCCATTATTGGACCTTAATGTGTGGAGCTGGCTGCCATTTGTAGCCTGCAGCTGTAAGCGCTTTCTAGCCTCGTGATCTCCATTTGCAAACACTGGAGGTGGGTGCAGGTTACAATGTGAGTAAGAATGTGCTGAAAGAGGCTTGCCCATCTTGGATTGGGGCTATTTTAATGATTCAGTAAGCAAAGAGGCTCACCTTTCTGAGCACATGCACTCTCAAACACCCACACCATCCTTAAAAAAAGCCCAGTTCTATTTGTTCAGCCTTTTGCTACAGGTGTCGGATTGGGTTAAAACAAAAGTTCTGTTTTCAGCTGCAAAATGCCTCTTTTCTGCTCCACTAAGCACTTGGAGAATGCCAGCATTTCAATGGGAAACCGATCCAGTGAGATCCCTGGGCCAGCCAACTGCTCCTCTGTATATGACAGTCAAGTTTGCCACAATGGCTGGAAGTCACCCAGGGGTTTTGCAGCAAATGATTTTAAAAGAGAACTTTCTTTTAGCATTTTTCACATTTTTCACAGAAATGAATTTTTGAGTCGGGGATTCGTTTCCGTCAATATGAGACCCTGTTGTGTGCTCTGCGCTCCTGTGCTATGTTGGAAATCTGGAATGGGGAGCCTGTAGCTGTTAAGTTGTGGGTGAACATATCAGACGACACAGCGATTCTTCAAACAGCTCTTGTTTATTCAGAGGCCAGAACTGAACTGAACTGAAGGGTTCAGCCAGCCTGCTTATATAGAGTTCCACTAGAACGCAACAGTAACCATTTTCTGTAACTATCCAATCACTGAACGTCACTTTCAATCCCTTATTTGCATATGTGGACCTGAGTGAAAACTATCTACAGTATCCCCCTGCTGGCCCAGGGTGAGAACTTCAGTACATAACAGTAGCCATTCAGATATTGGACTCCACCTCCCATCTTCCCCAAACAGCGTGTCCAGTGGCTGGGGATTGTGGGAATTGTAGTCTGATAACATCTAGGGTTACAGGCTCTCCATTTCTGTCCTGGGGCGGATCTTCAAAGCAGTCTCGTAGCTGAGAAATGGGGGTGTTTCTTTTTGCTAGGGTACTGCTTTGAAGACATGATCCCAGGAAAAATTAAATTGGAAGTAAAAGCTTGCTTTTGGACGAGATCCCTTGCAGGGAGCAGGCCTCAGTTTATTTGAGGACATCTTTGTGAAGGACGGGCCAGCCCGGAAATCTTTTCCAGCTTGGGTTTTGCTCTACAAGCTTGTGATGTTTGCATCTGCTTCTTGGTTGCCAGACTCCTGAACCTTGCTTCTAGGCCTGCTGCCTTCTTTGCTAGGACTTCAGGACAAGGCAAATACCTCTTTATTTTAAAGGCTTGACAACCTTTGAAATTATTCTGCCAACCTTCGAAATTATTTTAAGCTGCTCTTTTCTTTGTCCTTTTTTGTATTACAAAACAAAGAAACAAACGATTTAATGAGTTGTCCTGGGAATGTTGACCGGTCACTGAAAGGCAGGACATAAATGTTTGAAATATAAAAATAAAAAACCCAACACAATGAATTGAATGTGGCATTTAGGCTCAGAAGACTATGATTAAGCCTAGTTCGCACGAAAAAGATGGTGTGAGCAGCATGTTACTGGGCTTTATTGCTTTATAATTCAAGTGGTTCATTTATGTTCCCCCACTTCTACCCTGAAGTAGCATAGTCAGAGTGGGGGGCCATTTACATCACCATTTTGCTGTTTCCAAGAACTGGGCCTCATCTTCATAATCTTTAATTCTTGAATGGGTTGCCTTGAATTGTAATGAGAGTGGCAATTTCCACCCTGTGTGATACTCATTTGTTACTGCTCCCCAAAATCTGCATTTGTTTGTTAACAGTGAAGAATCTTAAAGCCAATTTTTAAAAAAGCCTGAAATGCTTATTCTGTGCACCCTCCATAATTAATAGAGCCTTACACAACTATGGAAAGAATATACTGTTTGGCCACTTGTTCCTGCTCTCTTGATTGATGTAGAAATGTTCTTGATTTCGCAGGTGCTGGGAACTCAGTGCTGGAGACATAAAATGGATTTACCAAGCTCCAGTTTTAGTAGCGATTGGGGTAGGATTATTCATATGTATTTATTTTTAGTGAACATTGAAAATAGCCTCTGTCTATCCATAATTGATGGCAGTAGTTCAGGGGTGATGTAAACAACCAGTACAAAGAAGAGATAGGGAGCCAAGCAATTTCTGCATCTTCCTATCATTCTTACTGACTATGAGGGTTCAGTGGGGGTGGGGGGGATGACATCCCACCATCCCAGGGTCCTGATGAGGGAAGACTCATTGAAATCCTTACTCTTCTCCCTTTTTGGTGTTGTTTCTTAAAGGGAACTTGAGAAAGGTTTCTTTAAGTCCTTGCTCTAGAAGTTACACAGGTGGTGGTGGAGCAAACAGGAAGAGATTTCTCCTGGTTCACTGCACCGCCATGGCCAGCAAAAGCTTCATCTGCTGATCTCTGCCCTGCTATGGTCCTGCAATACTAGCAAGGGCAAGGTGTCCTTGTTATGGAAACAGGCTGGGCCAGCTTGAATGGCCGCTTGCTTGAGGCTCGCTGTGGTCTGTTTTGGCAGGACTGAGCTGCAGGTGTGTTAATATCTGGTTGCAGGATATTTGTAGCTTGGATTATGTTGGCCCTGACCTGCCATTTGCTTTTAGGCTACAATCTGGACTTGCATCCTGGACATAGCTGTCAACCATCCCTTATTTGGCGGGAAACTCCCTTATTCCAGCGCCGTTTCCCACTGCTGTCCCTTATTGATGATGTCCCTTAAATTTCCCGGGTTTCAAAGGAAGCAGCTCCTCTCCCTCCCTCCCTGCCGGCCAGGGAGGAGGCAGGCTCCAGCTGTGTTGCTTGGCTGCGTTGCTCACCCGATAAGGAGTCTAAGGAATGACTGTGGGGTGGAGCTTGCATGCCTTGTGCCGATCAAATCGGCCACATTGCCTGGGGACTCGCCTTTGCTCAGCGCTTCCCAGCGCAGAGGTGACGGTGGTTTTCCTTGCTGCATCCCCTTTGCGGGGTTGCTGCGCTGTGGGAACCACCGCTTGAGGCTTCGTTTGGCTGCTGGCTGGGCTTTCTGCCTTTGGCTTGGAGGGGCTCAGAAGTTGAACATACCTGTGCTTGGAATTGGATGGATACGTCATTGACGGCCCACTCACCCTTGCTGGGGAAAAGGTCTGTCTGGAGTGGGGGCACATAGTGGAGGAAAAGGAAAGGAGCTGGTTGAATACAATGGCGGACGGTGATCTCGTGGGAGGGGGGCTTTTGGATTTGTTTTGGAGGCTCCTTTGATTGACTGTTATGGGGGAAAGGAAAGGAGATGTTTGACTAAAATCCCTTATTTTGGCTGCTGATCCCTTATTTTCGAGGCTGCTGGTCCCTTATTTTCAAATCTGTAAGTTGACAGCTATGATCCTGGACTATTAACGGATGCCACCCAGGGAGCGTCCCTAACTGCATCTGTTGGAAAGGCGTATTCTCACTCAGTGCTTTATTGAGTTTCTGTGCTGCTCATTCCAGTTTTCCACTTCACACGTTAGCCCATGGGCATGATGCCAAGTCAAGGGAAGCAGGGTGGACTGGGAAGAAACTGGGGAAGGTTAAGTGCAGTAATGTCGGGAACTGGGCAGTTTGGAGCCTGGGCTTGTCAGCCTGGATTGGCTTAATGATGTAATCATCTCAACACAAATGGAAACGAATGGAGAATCACGTCCTGGTCCTAAATTCCAGATGCCCTCAAAACCTTCCAGTTATCAGAGGCAGATTTAGGGCAGCACAGTCAGTTCCTCAAACTGGGCGCCAAGCTGCTGGGGGGGGGGCGGCGCTGCAGGGCGTCACAACTATGACTTAGTGCAGGTGTAAAATAGAAGGCATGGGGGGGGTGGATTCTGACCTTGCACAGGGCACCACTGAAACTTGAAAGACCAAAGTCTGCCTCCGCTGTTATAGAGGCAAGCAGTTGATATTTCTAAAGGGATAGTGGGAATAATAACACACACCTGTAAACTGCTTTACAGCTAAATTTTATTCTGTTCCTCAATACTGTACGGGCTCTGGCGACAAAAATTTGGGAGACCAATGCTGTTGGCTACGACGTAAGGAAGCAATATAGGTAAGCCTCTACTAAATTAAGTTGTGTCTTTGTTTTCCAGTTGCCCTCAGAGAGCTGAGGAACTGTCAGAATGCAATACTACTTCTGAATACGTCAAGGGCTATAACTTATTTCTTATGCTGAAAACATCCCCAGAGAAAATACTAGTTTTGCGAACTCCCCATATGAATAATTCACTTCTTCAATGTATATATTAATGTAACTTATTTGCTAATTAATTTCATCGTTCCCAGAGGCATCCAGCTCCAAGAATGGCTCTCAAGCATCACTTATCATAATTTTAAATCAGATGCATATATGAAGATTTTCAAGTATGAATTAGGAATATAATCAATATTTGTCAGCTGTTTACTTCTGATGTGAGGCAGATTTCAAGAAGGCTGAAAAATGAGAGCTGTTTAAAAATTGGCTAGAAGCATTTTAAAAATAGAATACTTCTCCACTCATCTTAAGCAGAGAAGCAGAAAGAAAAGCAGAAGGAGACAGGGAGAAATCAGCTTTGTTTCTGCAACACAAAAGAGAGATGTATGTGCATATGTATGTGTGTATATATATATATATATATATATATATATATATATATATATATCAGTGCAATTTTTCTAGAAAGAGGTGCAGGAACTCAGCACGAACATCTCCCTTGTTTTCTTATAAAGGCAATGGCACCCACCTGAGAGGTGCTGGAACTGAGTTCTGGTGAAAAAAAGCCTTGCTCTTTGTGGGACGTGCTCTCTCAAGAACCAGTGAGTCAGTGAGTTTCTCTCAGCCTTCCCTGTGCACAGGCAGCAGGAAGGAAAGATGATCGCTGTAGATCATCAGGGCTTTGAGCTTCCAAGTGGGATAGTGGGAGCCATTGTTGCTGATAGGATCTACAGGCGCCCAGTACTTATGTGAGAAAGTGAGGTAGGCCTCTGATCTCCAGAGCAGATAGAAGAATTGGTTCTAGGGACAGGGAACGTCTAAGGGGCTCTTGTCGGTTGTGCGTAATGAATTCTCATGCCTGAGACATTGTCCCGTCTGGCTGTAAATACAAGCCAGACAGTCAGAAACAAAAGGAACGAAAAAGAAGCCCAAGGGCACCAAGAAATCCTCCAGTTTTCACAGGCGATGAAATTACAGGGGACTGGAGTATGCTATGGTCCTTGGGCAACTCCTACTGAATAAGATTGCATGTCTGCAATTCTGTTGAGAGTTAGGCTGATTATATCCTATTGGGCTCAATGAGATTTAGGCAGCCTCAGGGATTGTAGGCTATGACACTTTTCTGTGCAGCATCTAGCACTTTGTTGGAATGACTGATGGTGATAACGGCAACAACTTCTCTTCACTCTTCTAGAAAACTAGCCAAATCCACCTTGATCCTGGTCCTTGTCTTTGGTGTGCATTACTTTGTCTTCGTATGCCTGCCTCACACGTTCACTGGGCTAGGCTGGGAGATCCGGATGCACTGCGAACTCTTCTTCAACTCATTTCAGGTGTGCTGATGTTGGTGCTTATAAGCTGTAACTGTTCACTTATGCTAACTGGAGAGGAGGTTGTTGCTGGGAGGCAGTAGATCCTTCACAGGCAGCTGAATGTGGCGAGAAGGTATTTGTCCAAGACTTTGGAATATGCAAGGAGACCTCGTGTACCTCCGAGGGCTGGAGAACTGGAACCATTTTGGGAGAGTGCCAAACTTAATTGCGATGCTTGTGCTTCTTTAAACCTAAATAGCATCCGCAGGAGGGGCTGAACAAGACTGGGACTGTGGGGAGGGAGCATCACCTCTCTTTCTTGCTGTGGTCCTGGTAAAAATTGTACTTCCCCCCCCAAATCTGCTATTTGCATTTGGAAATAGCTATTTCCCTTCTGATGCAAATAGCAGCTTGCAGAAAGATTTCTGCCAAGACGGTGTTGGCCTTTCCCACTCCCACAGTTCCACACCTTCCTAAGGCCTCCTTGCCTGCAGCTGCTATTTACGTCTGCATCTTTACCTTTAAAGAAAGATGCATTTTAATTGCATCCATGCAATTAATCTTGTGCCTAGGTTAACTTTAAGAGTTTGCATTTGCTGTGCTCTCCCCCCCCACCCCTTGCAGGGTGAGCTCAGCATCTTTTACTATGCAGAAGGCAGATGTAAATACCAACGATTCCAGTGCTGATTTAGTGACTGGTCTCTCTTTCTCTCTCCATGCCTGCCCCATCATCAGCCCTTCCCAGTTTAGGCTGGCTTGGTGGCTTCCTTCAGAAATGTTTTAAAGTTTCCCATAAAACGCTCATTTGCCACCATTTTAAAACAAGAAGTGCTACCGATTGTTTTGGGGTTTTTTAATTGGTATTTAATTGATTTTTCCCAATTATAAAGCAATAAAGCGATTTAAAAAAAGAAAAAGTGCTCCCCATTGTAATAATGTTGTGCAAAACTGCTGCAGGAACTGAAGGAAGATTCAGGCACCAGCCAATCAGTGCTGTGCAGAGCAGGCTTCTGCTGCAAACTCATGCAACCAGTTTTCACTGATTTTTTGGGGGGTGGGGGGGTGGTGTCTAGCTCCAGAGGTTGCTGGGCTTCAACTCCTGTCACCCTCACCCATTGGCCATGTTGGCTGGGGCAGATTCAAACTGGAGTCCAACTACCTCTGAAAAGCCACTGGGTCAGCACTCGTGCTGTAAATTCACCTTGAAATTTTTAACAGATGCAGAAGAGAAGGACAAAATGAATATGAATCCAAACATTGCATCTTCTTTCTTCCTTCTCTTTGGCTCTCTGCTAAAGTGACACATGTTTAAAGCTATTATATAAGCCCCGTGTTTGTTTCCTGTGAGTCTGGTTTTGTTTTTTTGTAAAGTGCTGAAAGAGCCAGCCTTTGATCATCCAAACTCACCTGCAACTGTATATGTTCATTTGCAGCAAAGATGCGCAGTCCTTCAAAGTAGGTGCTGCAAAACTCTTCCGTTGTTTTCTTTGTGGATTGCCACAGGAAGGCCCTGTGAAGATCTACCCCTCTGATTCTGTTTGTCTCTTATAAAACCTGCTTCCTTTTCCCATCAGTCTGGGATTCTTTTGGTTTCTGGTGTTGGAGTGGCAACACCATGGAAATAGAGTAAGATCAATGCATTGCTTAAGTTTTTGTTTATTTAAGGCTCTTGCATACCTCTTTTCATGCGGCACACACATCACAATACATTTGATGTGCATGGCATGACTCAAAGAATCCTGGGGACTATAGTATGCTAAGGGTGTTGGGAATTGCTCCCCCAACCTCCCCACCCCCCAGCCCCCAGCCCATTTCTGTAGGCACAGAGGGAGGAGAGGTGGGAAAGCAGAAGTCCTTGACTAGGGCTTCCGCTGATGGGATAATAATAATAATAATAATAATAATAATAATAATAATAATTTATTATTTATACCCCGCCCATCTGGCTGGGTTTCCCCAGCCACTCTGGGTGGCTTCCAATAAAACACTAAAATACAATAACCTATTAAACATTAAAAGCTTCCCTAAACACGGCTGCCTTCAGATGTCTTCTAAAAGTTTGGTAGTTACTTTTCTCTTTGACATCTGATGGGAGGGTGTTCCACAGGGCGGGTGCCACTACCGAGAAGGCCCTCTGCCTCGTTTCCTGTAACTTGGCTTCTTGCAGCGAGGGAACCGCCAGAAGGCCCTCGGCGCTGGACCTCAGTGTCCAGGCAGAACGATGGAGGTGGAGACGCTCCTTCAGGTATACTGGTCCGAGGCCGTTTAGGGCTTTAAAGGTCATCACCAACACTTTGAATTGTGCTCGGAAACATACTGGGAGCCAGTGTAGTTCTTTTAAGACCAGTGTTATATGGTCTCAGCGGCCACTCCCAGTCACCAGTCTAACTGCCGAATTCTGGATTAATTGCAGTTTCCGGGTCACCTTCAAAGGTAGCCCCACACAGAGCACATTGCAGTAGTCCAAGTGAGAAATAACTAGAGCATGCACCACTCTGGCGAGACACTCTGCGGGCAGGGAGGGTCTCAGCCTGCGTACCAGATGGAGCTGATAAACAGCTGCCCTGCAGTTGACTCCTGCCCCATGCGTTTTAAATGCAAACCTCAGCCTCAGGTGAAACTCACAAAGCAGATCACTTGAGATGATTACAACAATAAGCATCAAGTTTTTTTAAAGTTACAATATAATAGAAGAGATGACTTGTTTGTATTTCCTGTGTTGCTGTATAGTTCTTGAATCAATAGCAGAAATCTACAAATTGCGTTGGCAATTTGAAATTTCTCCCCCAGTCTCTTTCGATAAATAGAATTGAATGCGGCAGAAAGATCAATGGAAGCTGCATAAAGTTTCGTCTTCTTTGTGTATTTCCTTACAATATGGTTCAGAGTAAAACATTGATCAGTCCTTTGAACCCCGCTTGTTCTACATGAATAACGATGCCATTTTGCATCCAGTCAGTTAATTGTTGAAGGAAATACTGTGCATATAGTTTGGAGGAGAAGTCTAACCAGCTAATTGGCCAATAGTTTTGTGGCTCCTTCCTATTCCCTTTCTTACAAATCACTAAAATGACTTTCATTGTCCACCCAGAGGGCGTTTAGCCTGGGCTGTTTATGCTGGTAAATAAGTCAGCCAGGATAGGTCTCCACCATTAAATGTAATCCTTGTAGAGCTCAGAGGGAAGCAAATATTATCCAGGAGTTTTCTTCGATTTCAGGCAGGAAATAAGGGCCTTTGTCTCATACAGGAGTTTAGTTGTGTTTTAGGAATGTTTGAAAAATCATTACACACTACTGGCATTACACACAGACTGACCACCACGTATATTGGAGAAATATTTAACCCAAACAGAGGCAGGAATTGAGACTTCCTGTGATGATCTCACTTCATTTAAACCCTGGGCCACCAGTTCCCAAAATTTGTCTTCTCTCCAACTTGTTTGTTTAGAAAATGCTATTATCACAAATGTGTTAATGACAACAGGGTTTGTGGGTTGTTGTGGGTTTTTTTGTAACCCATCGGATTTAGGCCTCTCGTTTGTTGTGAATCGCTCTTACATGGCTGGGGCAACATTTAAATCACCCATCCACATGTGGACTGGGGCTGATTTGCACAGACCTGCCAATTGCCCCATTTTTAGTGAGACATCCCAGATCATGGAAGCCATTCCCATCTTCTGGTTTGATCCTGGAATGTCTCGTCTTTTGCTTTTGTTTTTTAATACTTTATTTTTGTTTTTTTATAACAATGTTCATACAGTGGTACCTCAGGTTACATACGCTTCAGGTTACAGACGCTTCAAGTTACAGACTCCGCTAACCCAGAAATAGTGCTTCAGGTTAAGAACTTTGCTTCAGGATGAGAACAGAAATCGTGCTCCGGCGGTGTGGCAGCAGCAGGAGGCCCCATTAGCTAAAGTGGTACCTCAGGTTAAGAACAGTTTCAGGTTAAATACGGACCTCCGGAACGAATTAAGTACTTAACCCGAGGTACCACTGTATACATTTAAATCATTTTCAATTTGTACACATCTGAGATTACTTAAATCCCTGGACTCCCCCCCCCCCATGGTTTCCAATTTTTTCTATTCGTTCTATTGCATCTAATTACATTTTTCAATTTCATGTTTATCCTTTTTTAACTTAAGTCATATTACATTGTAAGTGGTATTACAATTCTGCTAGCATTTTTAGATATCTACAGTGGTCTTTAAGATACTCTATTAAAAAATTTCCATTCTTGACTATTTTTTTATCATCTTGGTGTCTGCTCTTCAGAGTTATCTTCGCCATTCATCATAGTCCATCATCTTGGTTATCAAATTCTTCTTTGGCTGGGACTTTCTCGTTTTTTGGTTCAGTGCTCTGGTGCGAGTGCGAGATTTTGTTTCAAAGAACTGGTGATGTATTCTTGCACCCTGGTAGGGTGCTGATTCCATGGGAAAGGCTCTGGCTCTGTTGTTGAGTCCTTCAAGTATTCTCCTGGGTGCAAGAGCCAGTCATGGAGAAACGTCTCCTGTGCCAGGCCATCGGGGGCATCAGCTAACAGGGCATCTGAGTATCTTCCTTGCTTATGGTGTCAATTGGCTTAGGGCCAGCAGACATACAGGAGCTGCCGTTTGGCTCAAAGGATGCGCATGCATATATATATATATATATATATATATATATATATATAGTACTTATTACTGAAATATTAAAATATTGCATCTCACTTTTTAGCCCCTCATTCACAAATTTCAGTTCAGCTGCATCCATGTGTAATTCTTGCTTCAAAGTGGAGATGGTGAAATGACTGATATTCTTTAATTGTTCTTTATTCTCCTGCAGGGTTTCTTTGTCTCCATCCTCTACTGCTACTGTAATGGAGAGGTAAGTCACTAGATGAATTGGGACAGGTGGCCTTCCTAGCTGTGAAATGGGGTGGCCAGTCAGCAGGTGTATTTGGGACAGTGAATGAGATTTTAAGAAGTTGCTACCTGTTCCAAGCCACACACACAAACACACATTTTTAATAAGGCAGATGTTTAGGTATAAAGAAACACATAATTATATATGTGTGATTGAAATGACCTGTAAAGCATGAGAGGAAGACTGTGCATGTTGCTTTGGATCCCAGGTTCTATTTATAATTTCGATTTCTCTTCTTACAAAATGCTTCCAATGAGATTGCATTGGTTTTACTTCTAGAGTATGGCACCCTTGGGTTCTGTCTAAGAAAGTGCAGTTTGTTAAAAACCAGTAAGGACTCTCTCCCCTGGCCAGCCATATGCCAACACAAGGTGGAGGCAGGAGAGAAAGCTTGTTTCCATTAGAAATGAGTGATAGGACCTCATTTGTAATTTACCAGCCACTCCTGTTGCACCTCATTAGTTGGTTTAATTAACTTACTGCCCTCTGGGCATTATTCTTCAGGTTTGCTAAGGGTGGGAAAGAAGGAGAGACAGAGAGATTTGAGTAATGACCATGACATATAAACACTTGAATAACTTTTTCTCTCTTAAATAGTTCTCACAAAGCGCAACGCAATAATTAAATTTCATGTTTTTAGGTCGTTGTTTTGTGCAGTGACTGGAACTAATATTTCATGTAGATTCCAGATAAGATCTCTCTATTTTTAAAAAGGTTTCTAGACCTCATGGTGTTAGAAATAAGAGCTAAATAAATAAATTACCAGCTCTTGTTGCTTCAGCAGAGCTTCTGTGTCTGGTGTGGCTCTCTGTCCTTCTGTTGCATAGTTTTTTTAATATACTGTATATACCTCCAAAACATATATAATTGTGCTCTCCTACCTACTCACTCAGGTGGCGCTGTGGGTTAAACCACAGAGCCTAGGGCTTGCCAATCAGAAGGTCGGCGGTTCGAATCCCCGTGACGGGGTGAGCTCCCGTTGCTCAGTACCTGCTCCTGCCAACCTAGCAGTTCGAAAGCACATCAAAGTGCAAGTAGATAAATAGGTACTGCTCCGGCGGGAAGGTAAACGGTGTTTCCGTGTGCTGCTCTGGTTTGCCAGAAGCGGCTTAGTCATGCTGGCCACATGACCCGGAAGCTGTACGCCGGCTCCCTCGGCCAATAAAGCGAGATGAGCGCTGCAACCCCAGAGTCAGTCATGACTGGACCTAATGGTCAGGGGTCCCTTTACCTTTACCTTGCCCACTCACCACAGCTTCCACTTGCCCCTTAATGCTTCTGCTGAAGAGAAGGCATGGCTCCTAGTTTAATTTGGCAGTCCAAGCAAATATTAATTGAATGAATGTTTCATTTTATTATTACTAACACAACTGGACGTAGTTGCAGTTGTTCTGGTGAGGAACAGGGGGAGCTGTATGTTTGTTCCTATATTCAAAATTATATTTTAAAGAAGATGACGACATTGGCCTAACACTCTTCCTTTGCGTTTTGATCCGGCCATTTTCTTCCCCTCCAGGTGCAGGCTGAGATCAAGAAGACCTGGGCTAGGTGGAACCTGGCTGTGGACTGGGAGAGGGCGGCTCCTTGTGGGAGCTATCGCTACGGCTCTGTCCACACGAACATGACGCACAGCACCAGCAGCCAGTCTCAGATGGCGGCCAGTTCCCGCATGGTAGTGATTTCCACCAGGGCTGGCAAGAATGTCACCCGGCAGAACGACACCCAGATAACTTTGCCCGGGTATGTTAGGAGCAACTCTGAACAGGACTGTGTGCGCTGGTGGACTCATGAAGAGGCTGAAAAAGAAGAAGAGGAGGAGGAGAAAAAGCTGGATGCTATTTCTCTCAAGGAGCCCTTTACACTACAGGGCCATTGCGCAGGCTCCCTTAACGAGGAGGTGACGGAGAGCAGGGCTGAAGTAGAGGCAGCACTTTAGCAAGCCAGAGAGGCATGAAAGAGAGGCCGGGAATTAAAAATAATAATGGGCAGGCCCGTCTTCTCCTACCCAAGTTACTAAGCTCTGCATCAGAGCCCGCCATCTTGGCTCATCTTCATCAAAAGCTTCCTCAGACACAGCTCATGTCATGTGCTGACTCAGATCTGTGTAGCCCACTGTCATCGACGGGCTCTTTGCTGTCTCAGGCCAAAGCTTCTCTCAGAGCTGCAACCAGGGCTTCCTCACCATAGAGAGCAGGGGGTTTTCTGCATGCAAAGCACATCTTCTACTGAGCTCTTCGTGACCCAGGAGCCTCACAAGCATTTCTGCACTGCATGATGTCCCTGTGCTAGCAAGAGGTTTTTTCTGCCTTAAAAACATCAGGGGCACCAGTGAAGTCGAAATTCAGTGGAGTTTAGGCAGAAGAGAATTATTTTGATTAATGGAAGCTTCACACACCATTCACACACACAAACTTATATATGAAGTCCAAATAATACAAAATCACAGCCATCATACCTATCCCCACTAATGAGGCCAGAAGTCCTTGCCAATCAGATATGTTGCAGCAAAGCCAAACTCATGTTCACATCCCTTCCAACATGTAACAAATGTCAGCACTGAGTCAAAGATGTGTGCGACCATAATGTTCCCCCTTAACTGTATCATATGTGCATTTCCTCTCATTGTTATGAATCTGGTCGATCTCCCCAGCCCCTCAAATGTTTGTTTATTTGTGATAATTGTAGGCTGCCTTTTAGGGCACTTGGCCTCACAAGGCAGATTCCATGAAAAGGAAAATACAATACACAAGTGAGAAATACAAACGACATATCAACCACCATTAAAACAATAACATATAGTAAGCATGAAAGATGACCACAGCGTTAAAAATTACAGTATCAGACCAGCATAATATCATTGAATCTACTTAAATGTTAACATTTCAATCCCAACATGTTTCTAGGAAAAGGCAATTCAGAATAGGTCGGTCTTTAAAACTCACTTCCAGCCCAAAAGAAGGGAGGAGGCGATCACACATGTCACACCCTGAAAAGACTTCTGCCATTATGGGGCTACAAACAAAAAGCCCCTGTCTCTCATGAAAGCCAGATAAATCTCAGTCATGGACACGTGTGAATGGCCTCTGGTGCTAATCTGAAAGCACAGGCAAATTGATGAGAGGGAAGCTGGTCTTTGAAATAATCTGATCCAAAACCATTAGGGCTATGGAGAGCCACACCTGTATCTTAAATAAGAGCAGAATAAGAGTCCTGCTGGATCTGTCCAAAGGCCCAAATTCCCCTGTTCTTCTAGTGGCTGACCAGGTGCCTAATGGAGTCTGCAAGCAGCGCTTTCCCCACTTTGCTGCCAAGCAACTGGTATTTGGAGACAGCTGCCTGCAGTCTGGGAGGTAATACACAGCCTTCATGGCTAGCAGCTGTCGATAGCCTTATGCACTGTTCACTTTTCATGGTGGATGCCATAGCTTATGTGCTGTGTGGAAGGGGAAAAAACCCATTTGGCCTCTCGTGCATCTCCCATTATTCAACCACATTGTGGAATTTGCCTTTTCCTTTCTTTTTTACAATTTTTTAATTGGTTTTTGCAGTTTACATTTGTGTTCAAATCAATCATAATCATAAAGGATTCCCTGATTCCTTGGACTTTCCTCTCCCCCCCCCGTGGGTTCCTTTTTCAACTGCAGCTTACAAGATTCTCCATTTTCTTAAAATTCCCCATTTCCCCATAGTTCTTGTTACATTATAAGTATTGTTATAGTCCTGCCAAAGTTTTTAGTTGCTTACAGTGTTCTCCAAGGTAACTTACAAATTTTTCCCATTCCTTATTAAAATTTCTGTCTTCTTGATTTCTGATCTTCCCGGTCATTTTTGCCATTTCGGCGTAATCCATCATCTTTATCAGCCATTCATCTCTGAATGGGACTTTGTCTTCTTTCCATCTCCGAGCCAAAAGTATCCACTCTGCTGTTGTCGTATACTTAAATAGTCTTTCCTTTGGTTTTTCTGCACCAAAAACGCCCAATAGAAAAGCTTCTGGTTTTTTCACAAAGGTTATTTAAAACATTTTTCAGCTCATAAATCATTTCCCAGATTGCTTTTGTTATTTTGCATGCCCACTACATATGGTGGAATGTGCCTGGAATTTTCCACAGCTGCCACAGTTCAACATTTTTCTTGTCTTATCCACCACTTGTCCTATCCTGGGACCCCTTGCCTTCAGAGCAGGTGCTTCAGCCTAGAGCTACAGCCCAGAACATCTAATCAGAACACAGAAACCAACCTTATAGCAAGCCTGACAGTTGATTCATCTAGCATCAGCTTTCCAGGGTTTCAGACAGGAGTTTGTCCCAGGCCTATTTGGAGATGTTTGGACTTGATTAAGGAGCTTTATGCATGTAGGACGTTTGCTTTTTCCACTGAGCTACAGTCCTCATATTAAGAACAAAGTACAAAGCTTTCTAGGAAAAGTATGATGAGGATTCGACTTTGATCCTCAGCGGAGAAACTTGAAAATACATTATCTCTCTCCCTCGGCTCATTTTTAAAATGTAAATTTAAATTTTAAAAATGTGAAAACATCAGCTTGGAAAAAAAGAGGTGAAAGAAAAGTGTAAAAGCCCACAGTTCTTCAGATAAAATACACATAAGACAACAGCTACTGGGGGGAAAACAACATTGTTGAAAAAGCAGAACGTAAATGAAAGGGAAATACAAGCTTGGACTCACATGGTCAGGGGTGCTTTTGTAGAACATTAGTGGAAATGAGCCTCCCAGATTTTAGTAATTTTATGTCTAATTGATTTCTTTGGAGGAGGCATGTGCTTGAGCCTGAAACTAGACCTTTGGCAGCAGGCCCAGGTCTTGGAACCTGTGGTTCCATCAAACACTTGAGAGGAGTGAAGGTTGTGATTTGGAGAAGAAAGGCAGCAGTCAGGACAGGGAGCGCTTAACTCAATTGCCTCCTGCTATTCCTCCCTTTCAGCAATGACAAACCTAGACAGCATCTTAAAAAGCAGAGACATCACCTTGCCAGCAAAGGTCCGTATAGTTAAAGCCATGGTTTTCCCAGTAGTGATGTATGGAAGTGAGAGCTGGACCATAAAGAAGGCTGATAGCTGAAGAATTGATGCTTTTGAATTATGGGGCTGGAGGAGACTCTTGAGAGTCCCATGGACTGCAAGAAGATCAAACCTCTCCATTCTGAAGGAAATCAGCCCTGAGTGCTCACTGGAAGGACAGATCCTGAAGCTGAGGCTCCAATACTTTGGCCACCTCACGAGAAGAGAAGACTCCCTGGAAAAGACCCTGATGTTGGGAAAGATGGAGGGCACAAGGAGAAGGGGGCAACAGAGGACGAGATGGTTGGACAGTGTTCTTGAAGCTACCAGCATGAGTTTGACCAAACTGTGGGAGGCAGTGGAAGACAGGAGTGCCTGGCGTGCTCTGGTCCATGGGGTCACGAAGAGTTGGACACGACTAAGCGACTAAACAACAACAACAAATTTCTCCCTTTCATCTCTCTCACCTGGTAGCGTTTTTCCTAGCTGGGTTCCCAAATATATGGTTGGTTCACTTCAGGAAAAAGTACAGGGAAAACGCTAAGACCCTTTTCTGCCACGTCTCCAGTCTGTTGCCAAGGGTCCACCCAAACACAAAATGCTTCATTGTGACAACACTGGACATAATCCAGGAAAAATGTTTGCTCCCTATTGTCTGACTAAGCTTTGTTTGCTTATTGATTTGTTAATATGTGTGTGGGTTTATAAATTGGTGCCGCCTGTATTTTCAGCAGGTATTTGCCTACTCAAATACACGAGAATTAATGTTAATTGATGTTAGCAGCTATACTGAAGTTGATAAACCTGTTTAACCGTGTAAATATTGTGAAGTGGTGCACAAGATCTATTAAATTTTGTTTTGTTTTTAAGTTCTGTCTGCTTTGCTTAAAAAAAAATCATTTGAGGGAAAGAGATTGGGTTGTATGCAGCATAGCACCAAGTTAAAGTCACTTGGTGTTATACTTCTTGCACAAGAAATAGTGCAAGAACATTACCAAAGATTGTTGTGCCACAGATTGTGCAGCCAGAATCAGCTGTTACCTATCAAGTTTGGGACTCCTTTGTTGCACAGCCTTTAAGCTCTTGGACCCAGTGGACAGAGGAGGTGAGACACAGCCGATTGAACTGTAATGACACCGAGGTGTAAAGCCCTTGGTTCAGATCTCATCACCATGATTGCTCCCTTCATGCATGACTCTCAAGAAGTGATCTTAGCTGAAATTGTGTAGGCAAAACCCATGCAATCAAGTTCAGGGTGTAACCTACTGATTATTAACATTATAAATGAGTCGAATGGAAAGAAAAGAGCTGGTTCATTCCTCTCTCTTGATGACTATAAGGCTTTTGATAATATTGGTTCATTGTTTTTGACACACCTGCTAAACAAATTTAAATTTGGATCTAAGTTCTTGCACCTCATTAAGCAACTATACTCCAAATCAAAGGCAATCATTTCAATCAATGGCTTTGATACTCAAGCTATAGGTCTCTTAAAGAGCTGCCCTCTGTTTTTTGTTTTTTTTTTTAAGAAGCGTTTGGATTTGATATCCCGCCTTTCACTCCCTTTAAGGAGTCTCAAAGCGGCTAACATTCTCCTTCCCCTTCCTCCCCCACAACAAACACTCTGTGAGGTGAGTGGGGCTGAGAGACTTCAGAGAAGAGTGACTGGCCCAAGGTCACCCAGCAGCTGCATGTGGAGGAGCGGAGACGCGAACCCGGTTCCCCAGATTACGTGACTACCGCTCTTAACAACTACACCACACTGACTCTCAGAGCTGCCCTCTGTTAATGGCAACAGAGGGCAGCTCTTTAAGAGACCTATAGCTTGAGCATCAAAGCCATTGATTGAAATGATTGCCTTTGATTTGGAGTAGAGTTGCTTAATGAGGTGCAAGAACTTAGATCCAAATTTAAATTT